AGGTAAGTAGAACCCACTCCTGCTGTGAACTTCTTCATGCCGTAATATTGTCACCTTGCCATTATATTAAATGTATTCAGGTAAAGATCTAGAAATCAAAGACCTGCCAATTGCATTGCTCTTGGAATGGTGGCTTTGTCCAAAAGCTTCACTTTTCAAAGATCTTTCAATCCCATTTAAGGAATTGTAGCACACCTCTTACCCTCTTGTGACGTCACAATATTTTATCACACATTTTTATTCCCTCATAATTCAACCACAGCTTTTCACTTGCAGGTTTTGTTTGCCAATTCAAGAAAGTAAAATGCCCCCACTCAGCGTAGGGAACTATGGCAGGAAAGAGGTGACTTTGACTCACAATCAGCTATTCTGAGTTCTTTGGCAGCTCTAAAATGAAAAGAATGAAGCTTGTTTTAGCCCACAAAGGACATTTTTTTCATGTACAAAACTTTCATAGAATTGAATGCATGGGTGGATTCAAAGAAAAGGCTAGGGTTTAAATGGCAAAGGCAAAAACTGTAATATTCAACTAGAACGGAGTCCAGCCATCCAGAGATCATTAGCATCACTATGTCTGTGGATCCCTTCCTTGCCCACCAAATTCCTTCTTCTAGCTATTGTCATTAAAAACAAGAGTTGTTTTTTTTTAAAATGGAAACCAGCATAATGCAAAGTAATCACAAGTGCCTGATACCATCTCCCACCCCCCCAATAATGTCATTGCAACTAATATAAGCCACATAAGTTTTGTTGGAAAATGAAAACAGCAAGTGGCTGTGGTCCTGTGTTTTCTCTGGAAGCACATCCAGAAAAAAGGAACATTTGCTAAGCAGTAGAAATCTGCCAGAAGCTGCTTGATGCCAGGAAGAAAATTTCCTTTGGGAAAATGGGCATTATGTCCATTTTGCGATATGGAAACTTCCCTGTGCTTCCCATTTTGAAAGGATGCAAGGAACACACTTTTGAAAATCCAAATGTATCCTAAGGATGCAGTTAGACAACTGCAGATCAACAGTAGGGAATTTTCACAAGTTTAGGTAGTATAACTGATGGGTGAAATTTTGGCTCTCTAGACAGAGCGATGACCTTGGGTGTGAGTGATGGTAGAAAGGGAGAGATGCCTTGAATGTAGACAATAGCTGGAGGAGAGTGCTGACAGACCAGCAGTAAACTGGCATACCTGACTTGAATATATAAATTAAGCAAGCATTGGTGGTAAAATGTTTCCAAGTTGAATATTGCTTTCTGATGGATTGAATTCATGCAACAAATTTTTGGTACATTACTGTACATTGTATGAACCCGGCCAAGATGATTTATTTATGGTTTAGCATGTGTGAATGCAGTCCTCATTTGAGAGTTCTCTAAACATGACATAAGCCATGGCAGGAGACCAGTACTTTGCTCTATAACAAAAAGATACGGTCCAGGAATGGCGTCAGGGTTGGTGAGCGGAGCCTCCCGCTGGTTTTACTACCGGTTCTATAGAGCCAGTCCGAACCGGGAGCAACCCACCACTGATTCTGTAGCTACAAAATAGAGTCTGTGTTCAGTGAACTCTTTCAGGACATGCTTTCTATGTTTAGAGCGAGCTTTCTTAAAGTTTTCTTTTGTGCTTCTGCAAACCTAAGCCTGCTCTTGCCTTCCATTTGCTCAGGAGTGGTTTTCTTTAATTACCAACACTCCAAAATACTTTTTTTCTTAGCTCCTGCGTAAGTTGAGAGGTTTTGTCCTACTTTTATTTTCTGGTTTGCATAAAGCAGGAAGACAGTGAAGAAAACAACGCCTTGCATGTAAGAGGAAGAGGAAAGTTCTGCTTATGTCAACAGCTTTTGTTTCATCACTGCAGATCATTGGGATAACATCTTTGTGCTGAATGGCTGGTCCTGCAGCATTCTGGCCCTGCAGCATTCTGGCCCATAATTCTATTATATCCCAGTGTGAAATAAAACTCAAAACAGTGTCTGTGCCTTGGAAGAAATTGGGTTAGGCAAGTTGGAGCAAGGATGATTTCTAACGAGGGAAAGGTGACTACCAGGAAACCATGTTCCTCTGTGTTACAATAGGCTCACATTGCTAGCCTTTTCGATTTCTGTAGTAGAAATAAAGAGTAGATGTGCAAAAGCTTATGAGAAAGGTAGCATTAACAAAGATTGTGGTGGTAAGGTGGCCTTTATCTCATTAACTAGGATCTAACCCATACACCCACCTTTTTCACACGGTAGAGTGCATTTTTCTGGGATCCCAGTCATAGGTCCTGTGGCATTGTCCATGCATTGTGGTTGTCATCTGCCCAGTTCCTGCAATATAGGTGAAATAATTGCAACTAGCTACTTTAACATATTGCCAAAATCACAAAATTAGTGTTGCTAATTTTAGGTGGGCCCAAAGTACCAATAACTCGTCTTTTTAAAGATAGAGAATGTGTGGCTAAGCCAATGCAATAAATCTGTTGGTGAATTTCTTGAAAAGCGGGGGTAGGGGTGGGATTCAGTCTGCCTGAACTCAGGAAGGCTGATCCACTCTCAGTGGCCTCCTTAGAGCCATATCTTTCCATTCATTTGTGTCATCATGAGTGGGATGTGAAGATAATTCACTGCCTTTGAGGTTTGTCTTCCTTGGGTTGGACTATAAATGCTGAATGCAAGTAGCTGTGTGTGGCAGGTTGTCCCCAGCACTAAAAATAAAACCCACAATTTGCTGGCCACATATTACTGAACTTAATTGCTGCCTCGGCATTGCATACATGTTCTACACAGTGCTTGCCAACCTGGGGGCAGTCTAGGACAGAGAATATCCTGTGGGAGAGCACAGTGGGAGAAAACCACACTGGCCTTCCTGATGCTAGAATTATGCCATCTGCTGGTGTAGATATTGTATTAGTGTGTTCCAAGAACAGATTTTATAAGAAAACTAGGGGAGCCATTCTGATTTCACTGCAAAAAGATTTGTTACCTTAGCACAAATTTAGGATTTCTCTCTGCATTGAGTATTGGTTTAAGCTTTCTAGCCAATCTCTTGATCAGAGCTGCTATTGCCATTTCAGATTTAATTCCTCTTTTAGTTAGCCTTTCCTTTTCCCAAATTAGAGTAATCATCAGTGCTGACAGGAGCCTGCGTCATGTATTTCATCAGTCCCTGTAGATCAGGGGTGTCAAACTCCCATCGTCACAGCAACATCACGTGATGTATCGGGGCTTTTTTCCTTTTCGCTAAACCGGGCATGGGCGTGGCCAGCATGTGACGCATCCGACCCGCAGGCCACAAGTTTGACAGCCCTGCTGTAGATCTTCCACAAGCTCAAGGCAGCACATGAGGAGGGAGTCTCTCTTTCTATCTTCATGCATACAACTTGGTGAGGTAGGCCAGGCTTACTAAGAGTAAATGGCTCAGTAGTAAGGCCCAAGCAGAAAGAACACTGAACCCGAGTCTCCCCTAGCTCCAGTACACTATCGTACTCAGTGCCCCACATTGTCCGTTCTTTAATCCAAAATGTGTGGAGAGTTTTGGTTTGTAGAAAACTGAATTAGCATTAAGCAATCTAGAGAATCCTGGCTGCAGAAGGAGGTCTTTGAAAGTGGGCCTCAGATTAAATGCTTAATGTGGCACGAAGAAAAAAAGAGTAAGTTTGTAAGAAGTAGAGTTGTTCACAGTATTTATATACATTCATTTCCAGTACATTGAAATGTATCTTGCATTAAACTGTCCTGGGGTTCTCTCTACTTTCTGAAAGGGGTTACCAAGCATGCCATTCAAAGGACAAAAGGAGTCTTCAACTCTCTCACCTCCCAAAGTTGCACCTCTTTATTTTAGGGTAACATATACGATAGAAGAATGTGAATTTTTCTTGATGTTCCCATGATAGAAATTTGGACAAATCACCTTACCCATGAGGCTCTTTTTGTATGTAAGTCAACATTGCTTTGTTTTGCATATTTGCTGGAAAATTTTTGTCAGAATTTCCCCAGCTTGAAATATAAACAGACAAGCTGTACATTGGCTGGCTGTCTTGAGCATTACAAAGGACAACTAGTGGGAATACACATGTTACATATGCGAACAGATGATTGTGGAAGCACGTTCTTTGTACTGTCCAAATACTTCTATACCTCATCAAGATCAAAGAAACTTTTTTGAGTCAGTTGATAGCAGAATCTGACTAGATATCTATGCACTGACTGGAGACTCTGTGAGACATCACCACTTTATCTTACTTCATCTTAATATTCAAACAATAAATGGATCCTTCGATGAATGTATATGGAGCTTTAAAAAAAAGACCACACCAAGTATGGGAGAACATCCTTATTAGTGCAGGTGGCATACATGACTGCCTTTAATGCTTTAAAAGCAGGTATTGCCTTATTTAGATGAATCCTACAATCCCTGCTATATTCAAATAGATTCTTCAGGGGCAAATGGCAGGTGACAAAAGATTTTTTTTCTGCACATAAGGGGTCAGTAGAGCACAAGAAATAAATAATTTCTCCTTTTCAATAGGTATAAATGCCAGCAATAACAGCAAGTTAGCAATGTATGCTAATTTATACAATTTATAATTAATTTATACAATTATCCAAATGTTGATGCCAGTCTGCATAATTTGTAGTTCTATAATATTCCTAGCTCCTGGAAGCTTCTAAACTTTCTAGATATGCCACCTGCTCTGATCCTGGTATGTATGTGTGGATAACTTTTGAATTGCAATTAGTACTAAGTTTGGTTGACTTGGATCTTTCTTCCAGTTTCTGGCTGCTGTGGTTCTTTCTTACCTGATAGAAAATATTTGAGGGGAAAAAGAAAAGTTGGAAAATGATTGATTGATTGATTGATTAGATTTGTATTTATTCTGAAAAATAAATATTTGCATGGACAAGGATCAAATCTTTATTTGGTCATAAATCAGCAAATAAAATACAAGAATCGCAATTAATTAATAAAAATATATATCTAAAATATCCAAAACAAGGTTAGAGTAAATGCTACGGCATTTTGTGCAATCTATAGTACCTGGCTGTGGTCAAGGAAATAAAATCAGATTGATCTGATAATAACATTTTGAGAAAAAATAAATCGGAATGACCAGGATATTTAGTAAGGAGTGAAAATAATAATTCCAGCCAAGCATTTGCATAGAGAGAGCAATAAAGAATAATATGTTCCATTGATTCAATTATTCTTCTACTTCACAGAAGAGTATCTGTTCAAAGGGGATTTTTTTTGGTATCTTCATTAAGTGACAGCTGTTTTGTGTGCATTAAAAGTGGCTAAGGATAAGGCCCATTGGAATGTTAGGATTGTTATGTGACTGAGATATCTACCTGATTGGAAATGTGCAGAATGGCTTAACATGTTTCTGGGCAGATGTGGGATTCACTTACCTTCCCTACTGGTTTGCAAATGTGAGCGTACATACGCCATCTTCTGCGCATGCTTGGCCTTCCATGCATGCTCTTTGCTTGCACACTTGCCAGTGGTGGGTTGCTACCAGTTCGCCCTGGATTGGGCGAACCGGCGGTAGCAGGAGGCTCTGTCCACCGGCCCGGATGCTTCTGCGCATGCAGAACATAGTAGGACATCATTACATCTAGTTTGGGGGGGGGACCTACCGCAATTGCCGCTACTGATTTGCCTGAACCAGACCAAACCGGCTGAATCTCACCACTATTTTGGGTAGAGATAGAAAGTCTGCTTGCAGCTCTACATAAGTGGCTCACTGTTTGAGATCAAGAAGCGTACATTCATAGACTATCAAGGTGATGGCTGGCCATGAATAACCATAGAGTTGCAATTTGGCATGTATTGCCTGGTTCCAGAAACATTGGAAGCTGTCATGGGGCCACACCAACTGGAAAGAAAGAGATCTAGTAAGAGAAGATGTAAATCCATGTAGAAGTTTCAATTTTAAGGAGGCTAGCTTCATGGCGAAGGACCAGGTTCAAGCAAGGTTCAAGAAAGATGCTTCTCAAAAACCTGGACTGAACTCTAGGGACTGAACTGAGGAACAAAAAGGAGGTGGGCTCAGATCTTAACTGAGAAGACTTTAATTGCTGCAGGTTTACAGTTACCAATAGCTTGCAATACAACTCCCAGATATTTAAAGGTCTTGACTTGCTCTATTAGGTGGTTATTTCGATGCCAGATATTCCTCTCATGGTATATCTTAGCAAGGTGATGACATTCCACAATTCTTAGAATGAGTAGTAGAGATTAGTTGGTTCCATGACTATATCATGGCTCGCTTCTTCTTTGCCTGTAATACTTGTTTACATTTCCTCTTAAATAAGAGCAGGTCTTTAGCTGAATAGGAGAGAGAATCCTTTTTGTATTTCTTAAAGCAGGAAATTAGTTGTTTCTTGGCTGGCTGGCAATTTCTATTGAATCGGGATTGGTTAAAGGAGCTCTGATTTCTATTAGTGCCAGATGGATGGATAGAGAGAATTGGCTGGAGAAGCTGAACTAGCTGAATAGCAAAGTCTGTTCAGGGGACTTGTCATCCAAAATAGCTACAGTATATGTAGGTGAAGTGCCTCATTGGCAGAGAACATTTGGGTTACTTTGTTTTTCATCTGACCTGTCCATTTTATTCTTATTTGTCCCTTGGGAATAGTTTTGGATGGAATAGGTTAGGTTTGCAAAAAAGGGCCAACAAAGGGCTTCAGAGTCAACCTGTTAGGACAGCCATCACTCTCAGAACAGTTGTCAATATGGAGTTGGAAAACTGAAGAAGATAAATTTCTTGATATGGCAGTATAGTCAATCAGGGAGGACCTTGTGCCTGCCCAATGTGAGAATTCTTCTAGGTAGTTGGTATTGTTGTGGTCTGCCAGCAGCTGCAGAGCTGGCAGCAGAGTCGGACAGCGATGAGGCTGAGGAAGAACATGGGCCAGTCCCGGAGGCTGGGGAAGGCCTGGATGATGGCTCTGTGTCGGAGGCAGAGATGGGGCCAGGGCCATCGAGGAATGATGTGCGGACTTCGGAGCCTCCAGAGGCTGACAGTAGAGAGGCAGAGGAACAGGAGGAGCCTGTTCCTAGTGCATGTATAAGAAGACCTGCCAGAAGGCAGGAGCAGCTAAAGCAGAGAAGACGACTCGGGAGGAGGGCCAAGAGATGATTGGCCCCTCCCATAAGGCTTAAAAGATCAGCAACGGCTCTTGGCCTCTTTGCCGGAAAACAACAATTGGGAGAATTGCTTCTTGTTTAGCTGTAGTTATTTCTTCTATTCCTGAACTGTCTTTGGCAGTTTGCCTAATTATCCCAAGGTCAGAGATAAATTAAAGACTGCTGTTTTAAGGGCTTTGTTTTCATTTCATTTAGAATACGCTGGGAATGAGTTAATTCTCAGCTGTTTTAATAAAATCTGTTTGTTTTTTGGAACTGTTTTGCATTTAATATCAACTACATGGGCCTGGGTCACAACAGGTATTAGTGGTGCCATGCAGAATTTGCAAATCAATTCATAAAATGTTTGTAACATTTGTAAGCCCCGTCTTCAGTGCAGTTTTTAGATTCTCTAATTAAGAGTGAAGGGGAGGGAGGGACACAGTCTACAAATTAGGTGAAATTTTGAAAAAAAAAATGGCAAAAGGTGATTATCATTTGGGTCTAGTTTGGCACTGCAGTGATGATGTGAGCAATAGTGTAATTGAATAGCACTGATGTAATTTTCCACTTTTCCCCAAATTTCCACCATACATGATTGAAGATGTTGGAAAGTATGTAGAAATTAATGGGAAGCAATTTCCAGAAAAGATTAGAATAGCTGTCTGTGCAAGGCTCTCAGATGACTCTAAAATAACATAATCTTAGTGTTTAGAGTGGCTGAAATATGAATGCTCAGATCAGCATGAAGTTTCACCCCTCTTGATGCCAGGTTCTGCTGAGAGGGATCATGATTTATATCCCTCAAAAAAAGAGAGCATTTGTTGACCACGTCTCTTGGAACATAAGGATGTTCAATTGGCATACATAGCTTATAAAAGGTCTCTTATTTCTGGCTTCCCGTCCAGCACTGTTCCAAGAGAGCAAGGATAGCATTTCTGGTGCAGAATTTCCTTGCTTGCTGTCATAGGGGGTGACTGGGGATGTACTGAGGTCTATGAATGAATGATACGGCTCATGCAGTCACTCTAAAGATGAAATGAAACCCAAAGTTCCTTCAGTATGTGTTCCTTCAGACACATTGGTTGTAATTTGGGCTGCTTTTGCCATTCTAATGCTGCTGTATAGAGTCAGATAACGTTTGTACTTGGTAATCATTAGCAAATGATTGCTTCATGTCAATATAATTTGTCAGGGATATACTTTAAAAGCTGACCAGCTGCTGTGATGCTGTAATGCTGTAATGATAGTAGGAATGAATCAGCAGGATTATTTGACTGTTAGCACTTTAAGAGGCTGTATTATAAGTGAGGCCCTGTGAGGGTGTATCTGTGTGTGTGTGTGTGCTTCCATGCTGTAAACTGCTGATTGATTGTTTGACCTTTTCCTAGTGTTGTTGTTAGTTGCAAAGTCATGTATGACCCATCCCGACCCCATGGACAACTTTCCTACAGGCTGTCCTCTACTATTCCCCAGAGACCATTTAAGCTCATGCTGACTGCTTCAGTGATTCCATCCAGCCACCTCATTCTCTGCTGTCCCCTTCTCCTTTTGCCCTCAATCGTTCCCAGGATTAGGCTCTTCTCCAGTGACTCCTTCCTTCTCATTAAGTGGCCAAAGTATTTCAGTTTCATCTTTAGGATCTGGCCTTCTAAAGAGCAGTCAGGGTTGATCTCCTCTAGGACTGACCAGTTTGATTGCCCTGCAGTCCAAGGGACTCGCAGGAGTCTTCTCCAGCACCATAGTTCAAAGACCTCAATTCTTTGACGCTTAGCCTTCCTTATGGTCCAACTTTCACAGCCATACATTGCAACTGGGAAAACTATACCCTTGACTATTCGCACTTTTGTTGGCAGGGTGATGTCTCTGCTTTTTAGTATGCTGTCTAGACTTGCCATAGCTTTCCTCCCCAGGAGCAAGTGTCTTTTAATTTCTTGGCTGCAGTCCCCATGTGCGGTGATCTTGGAGCCCAGGAAAATAAAATCTGTCACTACCTCAATTTCTTCCCCATCTATTTGCCAGGAATTGAGAGGGCCGGGAGCCATGATCTTAGTTTTCTTAATGTTGAGTTTCAAGCCAACTTTTGCACTCTCCTTCTTTACCCCCCGCATCAGAAGGTGCTTTAGTTCCTCTTCACTTTCTGCCATTAGAGTGGTATTATCTGCATATCATCATAATTTGCCTAGTACATATATGTATATTCTTTTGTAGAGATAAACCACTATTTATTATTACAAACATCTGCGTGATGTATTTGTTTCTGGGTAATCTTATATAGTCACATTGTGCGCACTCTGACATAATTCATTGGAGTGGTTGGTTCTGTCCCAACAATGTTCTTCCTGCCATTGTCATGATTTCATGTGATTCCTGGGGCAAAAGTTTGCCTGGAAAATTAGAATGTGTAGCAGTTATTGGGTATGTTAAACTGCAAAAACCCATGTCATGTTCTTGGTGCCGCCACCACCTGACTCAGGTTGTAGTTCCCAGAGATTTAGGCAATCAAAACCTTCCTGTTAACTGTCAGCAGCATCCAGCTTTTTATTCTGTGAAGTTTCTACCGTAGATGTTGTGCTACTTCAATAGGGGGCAGGGTAGAAGGATTTGGACCTGCTCCAGGAGCCCTATGTTGATATCTGCCTATCTAGATTCCATAGGACAGAGGAGGGGACCAACAGGTCTTCTCTCATAGTGATGGCAACTGTCTTGAGTAGTTGGTAAAACCAGATCAATAAGAGGTCTGGCTATTTTGTTTATTGCTGCTGAATTTCTCTAAAATCATCCAGCCTTTTAATATCAGTGTTTTCCAAATCTGGCATGGCACTAAAAGAGTTAATAAGATTTTTTTCCCCAGAAAGTCGCCTGTGCACTGTCTTGCTTTAGATAAAGAAGACTTTTTGCGTGGGCAGCCATCTCTCAGGACAGAATTGGTAAAGTGTCCTTGAGATTAAATGAAGTTGAGTGGTCACATTTATTCTTTAAAGTGGTAATACTCTCATGGCCAGATTGGTTTAGGAGTGGGATGAGTTCCTCTGAGCAGAAAACACATTGTAGAAGATTGGAAACAAAGCCGAAAAGTCTTCATTTTAAACAACATACTGGGAACCGTAAGTAAAAATTGTTCTCTGCTTCTACTAGATGGAAACCACTCAGCCTGTTGTAAATCAATCAGCTGTTTTTCACAGCATAGTAATTGGCTTAAGGATAAGATAATTGTTCTTTTTGATCCACATCATCCTTTATTTGCTATTATTTAATATTTATAAGGTGATTTGTTTAGACTACATAGATGGTACTTACAATTTAAATGTGTCTCTCCTTTGGTTACATGCCCACTGGAGGCTTGTTGCTCACCCTTTTCCAGGGGAATGGTCAGCTCTCTTGGGTTGTTGCTCTTTCTTTTCCTAGGTGTAAAGGTAAGCTTGCCCATTGGCTTCCCTTCTGGTTGCTTTTGTGGCAAACTTTATACAGGAGATCCATGCTTTGGCTCAGGGGTATCAAACTAGCAGCCTACGGGCCGGATGTCTCACACTCAGGCCATTCCCACCCCAGCTCCGCGAAGGGAAAAATGTCGCAAAACGCCATGTTGACGGCAACGTGATGGCGCAAGTTTGACACCCGTGCTTTAGCTAGTTGTCATTTGGCTGGTTTTACAAAGACCTCTTTCAAGGAGTCCACTTTGATTTTAAGTGTTAACCAACAAGTCAAAGATAGAACTGTTTGAGCTGCCAGAAGACTTTGTTTGGTTAGAAAACCAGTTACATTTTTGTTCTTTTAGTTTATCAGGTAGGTATTCACACCCTCATCCTGTAATAACTATGCAGCTGCAGAGCAGATTGCATCAGTGTGTTTGGTGGGCAAGAGGTCTCTTCCACTGAAGAGGAGAGGTCTGTAAACTGATGACTTTCAATCTCTGCTTCTAAAGCATTATATCCAATGGAGGAATTTGAGGGAGTAAGAATACCTAGAGGAGTTGGCTGCCTGCTCATTAAGTAACTATCGACTTTCAACTGTTTTGTCAGCTTGGCTCTAGCTTGCCTTGCAGAATGTGTACAATATCTCTTCCTTCTTTTTCCCATGAGGATTAGTAGAGTCTCAGCTCTTTTTAAATGTTGAGGCTTCCCATAAGGAAGCAGAAGTGTAGCATTTATAACACTATATTAAAAATACGGTGATAAAGAGATACTTTTCCAGAAGAGGTCTCTGCCGTCTTAGCTTCTCTCCTCATGGGTAAGGAGTGATCCAGCCCTAGAGTCAAAAGAGTGAAAGAAACACTTGAGGTTGACAAGAGATGGCAAGCTGGCTGGAGATTGTTGCATTCAGAATGCATCACATCTGAGAAGTGCTAAGTTGGAGGAAGTTGTTCTAGCATCTGATGGCTACCCAGGCACTGAGAGTTCATCTCTGTTTAAAAAGTCAAAATATTTCGCCGTTTTTATTGTGAATAGAAAAATTCAACTCCTCCTGCTGCACATGTTTTTTATTAGGATTTGGCAAGTCAGTTTCAATGAATAGAGGCAGATGGGTCCTTCTTTTTGCTGTGATTATTTTCTTAGGCACAAGAAGCTGCATTTCCAGGTTGATGGGGGAAGTTAAAATATTTATTTCTTCAGCTCTGCAGCTAATTGAACCGAGCTAAGGAGAGGCTAGTATGCAGTCTTGTACTTGGTGAGGAATTTCTGTTGTGAAACAGGCAATACGGGTAGTCCTCGACTAGAACCACAATTGAGTCCAAAATTTCTGTTGCTAAGCAAGACAGTTGTTAAGTGAGTTTTGCCCCTTTTTATGACTTTCTTGCCACAGTTGTTAAGTGAATCATTGTAGTTGCAAAATTAGCAATATGGTTGTTAAGTGAATCTGGCTTCCCCATTGACTTTGCTTGTCAGAAGGTCACAAAAGTCGATCACATGACCATCATAAATACATACAAGTTACTTAGTACCCAAATTTTGATCATATGACCATGGGGAATGCTGCAACAGTTGTAATTGTGAAAAACTGTCATGTTACTTTTTTCAGTGCTGTTCTAACTTTGAACGGTCACTAAACGAATGGTTGTAAGTCAAGGGCTACCTATAATTATCAGTCATTTTGGAAGACAGGCTATGGAGTTTATTTTCAATATGGGGCAAAATCTAAAGTGAGCAGAACAAGCTGAACAAAGTTGGCATTTATAAAATCAGTGACTTCTGGTTTCTTCAGCAGCAAAGGGAGTGTATACATTGGGGGATGCATCACGTTGGAAACTAAAGTACTGAAGAAGATGAAAAGGTGTTTTGAAGGTATCGGGCTGCAATGCTTTCTTAAGGTGAGCTCTATTCTCAGAAAACTTGGGGTAGAAAAGGAAAGCCTCAGAATTATCGGTTACTGTATTGACGTACTGTGAAATAACACTGTGGATCAGGGTGGCCACAGGCTCTGTGGTTCAGTTTAACTACATACCCCTGCAACTCAAAAGCTATAGGTCACTCCGCTTCATTGATTAGACCTCATCAACCAATGGGAAGCAGCAGAAGTAAGAAAATCAAGAGGGACGTGTTTGGAGGTGATGTGGAAGGCTCAGCCCATCTGGCGAGTCATAAAAATTCCACCTACATCAGGCAGAAAACTTTTGTTAAATAATTGCAAATGCAAAACTTTCTTCTAAAATTAAATTGAAACTTCAAAATCTCAGGCAATCCATATTCAATATCAGTGCAAATAACTGCTTAAAGCTGCCCATTATCTTAACCCCCTTTCCTCCAATCCTTCATGTATTCCAAAATTCACTGGTATCCTATCTCTGCCTCTTTGTTATAAGCAAGAATTCCAAGGACGTAAATTGCCTTGATCAGGAAAGGATGTGACCAGGATTAAAAGAAACTTAAACACTGATCCCCTGTGTTGAGTACTTAAACCTCTTAAGGTCAAGAACTGAAGGTACGTGAGGAGAAAACATGATGTCCCACTTGAATTTAGAGTGGGCACAAAACAGTAATAGGCAATGATGAAGTAGTTCACTTGGAATTATTTGAAATCCCAATTTTATTACAACAGAGCTAAGCGACTTCATCATAAATGTGAAAATCATTAATAATTACAGACCTTAATGCCATTGGACAGGGAGATAAAATCACATCTTCAAGAAGTTGTAAGGCACAACTTCTGAGGTGAATGCAATCACCTCAAAGCATTCTAACCCTTTCAAGGAGTAAAGGTTATAAAATAGAATGTATAAGTAGTAAATTCCATAATTTGTCACCATTCCTTCTTTTTTCCTCCATGAACCAAGGCTAAAAATAAGGGCATATCAAAGATAGAATTTCAGAGTTTTTTAAAACATAGTCATACATTTTTTGCTTTGGTTAGGGCCAAATAGAAGTATCATCTATTTGTGCATGAAAAGGATCTTCTGCTATCGATGCACTTATGTACTCAACATCTCATCCTTTGCCTGCTGTTTGTGGCACCTCAGAACATCTGCAGATAGTTCATGGTTCAGGTAGGAAGGGGAGGGTTCCCCAAAGTTGGAGCCAAAAATATGCAGAAATATTTTTGAACATTTGCCATCAAGGGGAAAGCATTCAGTTCTTATGTTTGCTGAAAGTGGCATTGTAACAGTCATCGCAGCCAGGGAGATGTGTTGATGTTAATATCCAGAATTCTCAGGAATTCTGAATGGTTGACTGGGAAATTCTGGGAGTTGTCAAGATAAGGAAGGCAATCAGGTTGGGCATGGGCTGCATTGTCAGAAGGGCAAAGCAACATAAACACTGTAGTTGGCTTTCCATTAACCAAACCTCCTTTTGTTGCAGGATGGGCCAATGGCGGCCACACAAAGCCAAAAGTACCTCCTGGTCTTTGACTTTGATGAGACCATTGTAAATGAGAATAGTGATGATTCTGTCGTCCAGGCTGCTCCTGAGAAAAAGCTGCCAGAGTCCATACGCCAAACCTTCCGGGAAGGCTTCTACAATGAGTACATGCAGCGGGTTTTGAAATATCTGGGTGATCAAGGGGTAAAGATGGCCGACTTCAAAGCAGTCTATGAAAAGATTCCCTTCTCCCCTGGCATGCAGGAGCTCTTCCAGTTCCTCTCTAAGCACCAGAACCGCTTTGAGATTATCCTCATCTCTGATGCCAACATGTTCGGCATTGAAAGTTCTTTGAAGGCCGCAGGGGTTTACTCCCTCTTCCGTAAAATATTCAGTAACCCTTCTAGTTTTGACAAGACAGGTTACTTCATCTTGGGCCCTTACCATTCACACAATTGCCCACGGTGCCCTTCAAATATGTGCAAACAGAAGATCCTGACTGAATACCTGGAAGAAAGAGCTCGGGAGGGAAACAAATTTGAGAGAATCTTCTATGTGGGAGATGGAGCCAATGACTTCTGCCCTTCCATGGCAATGAAGTCCAGTGATGTTGCCTTCCCAAGGAAGGGCTATCCCATGCATCAGCTCATCCAGGAAATAGAGAAAAATCAACATGGGGCTTACCGGGCTACTGTAGTCCCTTGGGTCTCTGCCATAGAGGTTTGTTCCCACCTTCAAGAAGTTCTCAAGGAAACATCCTGAGGGAAAGACTTGGCAGAAGCAGCAATTCTCCTTGATTTACTTGGCATACAGCGTGGAAAGATCTCACAATTAACCTTGCACTGCCTCATGCTTGGCTTCTGCTCTGTTTCCCCCTCCCCCTCCCTTTCTCTCATTGTGCACAGTCTCTCTCTGGATCTCCCCTTCTTTTGATCTCGAGATAAGGGCTCTCTATGCAGTTTGGCAGTCCATTCCAGGAAGGGTGGGTGGGTGCCTGCCGCCTCATATGCTTTGCTTGCCTATGAAGAAAATGCTGCTGCATTTCTTAAAAATTGCTTATCCATTTTGGGGATACAGAAAAGGCTTATCTCTGCTACCAAAGCATATAGAAGCAGTTATGGGTCCTGCCTCATTGAAGATGACAATAAAATCATCTGCTGTAGATCTAAATGGGGCAGAATTATGTGTCTGCTAGATCAGGTTTTGCTTAATCTATGATTTACCTACTCAGCCAGGTTCGGCTGAGTTCAAAGACTATTAAGCCATAAATCACAGTTCACAAACCACAGTGGCTGAATTCACACATCAAAACAAAGGAAGTATTGTGTAATGTAAAATAAACTGTTATCTGTATCTTTGAAAACTATGCCCAAAAGGGGAAAAAATGCTACAAGATAATTTCAATGTATCGTTGTTGCTGGGTAGGACATAATCATCTAATTGAGCCCAAAATATTGATTTCTTTAAGGGCTCATTTTATTGCTGAGATCAATGCTCAATGGGTATACTTCCTCAACTTGCTACTCTCAAAATGTTTGGCTTCCATCATTCTCAGTCAACATAGCCAATAACTAGGGATTTCAAGAGCTAAGCATGGGCTGGACATTGCAGTTCCTTTATAAGGTGCCAGATTGGCATGGCGACTTTTAGCCAAGCAAATTGTAAGAGAAAACAAGAGAAAACTCTTGCCATAGGAGCATGTTGATCAGTCACCTAGAACACAGGTCCCCGACCCTCAGCTGCAGCCTACTACCAGGCCTTGAGCCTTTCAGAACTGGGCTGCGGAAGTAGTGGGTGAGTATGGAATCCTCCCCTCTCCCTCTCCCCCCACTGCCACTCAGCAAAGCTGAAAAGGTTGGGGAACTCTGATCTAGAAGAGCCTCAAGGAAGCATATGAGCTCTTCCAAAAGAAACTGCTACCTAAATGAGGCATGTGGTACTGCCTATTTGATGTATAGAAGCAAGAAAACGAAGTTCCTCGAGGGAGGAATTCTGGGAGTTAAAGTTCACAAGTTGCAAAGTTGCTAAGGTTGGAGACCCCTGATGTAGGGAACATGTTAAAAACAATTATTGCTGATGATAATCGATGTACAGCATGGCCCCTCAAATGTTGCTATGCTACACCTTGTAATGGGCTTGTTAATTGGGGTTATTTGTAGTTATAATTCAGCAGTAACTGGATAACCACAATTCCTGGCCCCTGACTTTAGAAATGTAGAAAGTACGAGACTACAAGTAACTACATGAAAAAATCTGCTATTTCTGTATGTATTTCCCATTCATCCATAATTATCCTGTCATTTCAGATCTAACTTTGGACTTTTTTTCTCTGTTCTATTCAAATAATACTGCATATACTCCCTGATAAATTGGAGGCAGAGGGATAAAGAGAAATGGTCTTATGGAGAAAATAATTCATACACTTTCCAGCTTGCTAACAAGATGTCCAGGCTGAATGATGGTGCTGCATCATGGCTTTCTAAAAATGATTCAGGGAGCTTTATAAGAGTGAATATGCTAACTATGCTAAACTCTATATTTTATGTTTTGCTCAGGAAAAGGAATACAATCAATATGAGATTAGTGACATTACGGAGCTATGGGATCAAGATTAGAAAGAGAAATCAGTGGAACATGTTCATCCAGACATAACACTGCCACAACAGATACACAATAATTATGCACTAAATTTCAACAGTTGACACAACCATAAGACACCTAGATTATGCCTTTTCTCTGTGCAGCACTGAAACAGGTTTCCATTGAATTTGTTACTGTAGATACACATGTATTGCTGCCAGAATAATTTCCATTTATTAAAATTGAGCATTTGACTTTTCTCTCCCAAGGTGTTGTACCCCAAAACTCCAGCATGGACTTCTTCTTGGCTTGAAATGTACTTGCCATCTCGGATTCCATAACCAAACCAGCAGACTGCCCATATCTTCTTTTAAAATGTTTATTTGTAATCCTCTCTTGGTCTGTATTCTCTGCAAATATCCCATATTCTTTTGTGTTGTACTCCCTTCTGCTTGTTATTTTTGGAATTTAAAGCCATGGCAACTCTTTTATAAGCACACACACACATCATACAAAAAATACCTAGCAAATATTTAAATGTTAAGTTATCTTTTGTATACTCAGCTGATACAAATTGCTTATAAAGTATATTCAAATATCTATTTCATGATTCCGGTGTTTCTAGAGTCTTTAATGTGTGAAATCTCTATGATGGGGAAGGCTACTTTCTTCTCTTCCACCTAAAATCCTACCAGTGAGCTGCTGTTTTTCCTCATAAATTAGCTTTATTCTCTCCTTTGATCTGAGAATAGCAGGTGGTTGTTCCTCTCAGATATCCCTCAGCTCTTTCCCCCTTGATGTGATTTCCTCTTATGCCAAAATGAAAGGAAATAAAAGGTGAGTCTAAGTTGGAGATTTGAGGGTGCACATAACCACCCATCTTGGCAAACCAGGAGGCATGTGGAGTGTAATTAAAGTGGGATGCAATATTCAGACTGTGACCACTCAGAGTTTGGTTTAAGGGGAGAGAAAAAACTGTCTGTGTTGACCATCAGCTCTGCTTGAACTTTCCAGTTTGTTGTGACAAACATTTGTAATGGCTGAACAGGAGACAAAATATATTTACACAACAAAGCACCAACTTTGGAGAAACCAATTATATAATTCCAATTGGAAAAACAGGATTTCAACACTTCTTCCCTTTTGTTCTTCTCAGTCACAAATTAGGAAGTGCTTTATAGTCACATTCACCTCACCCTCCTAATATTCTACACATTTCCCAGTATATAAACATTTTTTTTATAACAAGAAAGCAAAAACGCAGCTAAAGGCAGGATGATAATATCCTGATGGTGACGACTTGAAATGGTTGGCAACATTGATAAACTATTTGAAGCATAATAACTTGGTATTCAATTTTTGTCTATTTCAAAAGAAGATGGCAGTGCTTAGGTTGAGCCTGCTTAGTCCTTTTGTGGGAAATCACCAGGTCTAGACTGTATTGGGACGTCAAAAGACATGGAAGGCAGCAGTTGCAAGAAATCTCCATAACTATATCCACAAAGCTATAAGGAGTTGCACTTAACTCAGAGAATTTTACCTTTTATTTCTTTTCTGACTGCCCCTCCCTTCCCAAAAAACTGTAGGTGATCATGCTGTCTCTGCTCAATTGTTTGCTGCTGAAATAGGTGGTATAATTTTGGGATGCAAATAAGATTTCAGGAGTGGACAGAGGGGCAGTTGCTGCTATGCAGTTAAACTACAAAATAGCACCACCTGCTGACATATTGAAAAACCACACAAAACCTTGAAGGATATTTTATTGCATGTTTATTTTCTATATAATAGTAGACATTTGTTGCTAGATTCATTTATTTATCACATTTGTCAAACATGGGCAAACCCAACCTCAGAATTCTAATCAATCACTGTTTTTGTAAGGATAGAAATTAGCCCTGATGGGCTCTTTATTAACTGCTGGGCAAGATTTTAGGCTTTGTGAAGCACTACAGAGAAAGAGGAACCATAAATCCTGTGTTTATATTGCAATGGATTTAGGAAAATTTCCAAAGTACTCTTGACACCTTCCTTTCACTAGCTTGATTTTAGCCAAGCTTAAGTAAGTCAGGGAAATACTGATTTCCTGGCAACTTAAACTAGGATATACATAAATTTATTCGTTAAATTTATTTGCAGCCTATCTCCCTGTGGGACTACTCCATGCTCTCCATAAAACTTGTGCTAGGATCCTGTCTTTTTTCCTGTTTCATTCTGCCTCATTCATTGCAAAGGTTCAGTGTAGTTCCCTGGGAACAACCCTTCTGCATCACTCGTCACACCCTTACACCAGCCATTTGAGTATTTCTGTGTCACGTAAATAATGACCCCTTCTGTGAATGAGAGTTCATCCTCCTTCTTCTGAACATAAGGGTAAAGAGTCACAACTGAAAACAAGAGAAGGAGAAATAGTGTCAGAAACAATGGAACAAATAAAAGGTCAACTAGCTACATCCTTAGATAACCCAGGGATGCTAAAGAGATAGAATACAAGATGAGGGGGAATACAATCAGGTTGACACCTTATGCCACTCATTGCTACAGCCAAATTCACTGAGGCAAATGGGATAGAAGTGCATAGATTGGCTGCTATTGAAAAAGGCTGGATGGAAATGATTGTTTATGCTAATTAAGATGGAAGATAATCCTACTTATCTCTTCCCCAATATTTACTATAGTTAATAAAGAGTTTTGGAAAAAGTATTATTTCATTCTCAGCTGAGCTGAGAAGTTCTCCATTGGATCCACAGGAGAATCCAGATTGGGTTACTCTAGTCTCGTAGCTCTATTGACTGAGTTGAAATTCTGAGGACACTGCTAACGGTCCCCAGTTTTTCAACTCAGTCTCAGCTCTTTGGATGCTTATTTAAGCTCTGAGAGCTTCTGAGGAAAATTTTGGATTAAACTCCCTGGAGAAGTTCTCTTTTAATGTGTGGATTTGACTTTGTCCTGTGTATAATGAACCATTATGAACTATTACTGGCTAGGAATACAAAGCAACAAGAGTGCCTCCTAATGTTTTTGGTGCCTTAGCATTTCAAAATCTTATGGTTAGGAGACAGAAATCATGCAGAGTTGAAACAGTTTTCAGCAATTCTCATATATTTACTAAGATACCTTTCTCCAGATAGGTGTCTGGAGCCCACGAGAATTTCTTTGGGGGTGGTGGAGGTGGCAGAAGAGGTGGCTTCAGGTGACCACAGTTGGAATTGTCCAGGGATGGTGGTAGAGGAAAAGTTGGAAAATCAAGATCTGCAAACAAATATGGTGCCTGCTTCAAAAATAAGTGAGTCAAATGTCTCATCTGCTTGGTGTTCTCTAATTGAGCCCTTATACCAAGTCATGGTTTGCTAAATAAGACCTAATTGATTGGGTCACATAAGTCAATCAAACAAAACACTTCTAGCATGGTGTAATTTATGAACTCAGGCACTATATGCTAAGCCATTCCATTCCCAAGATCACTGGATACTGTTCCCATGCTTCCTAGCTGGCATTTATTAATGGGTTGTATATGCCAACTCATTAAGGGCTTGAGACACTTTGATTTATTTTACTAGTGCTTTAAAAAGCTTTTACCTGTCTCAGGGTAAGGCAGAGGAAGAACATCTTCTGCTTGAACAGGAGGAGGTGGCAAAAAATCTGTTTGAGAAGGGAGAAGAAAATCATCTGCTTCCTGTGGTGGTGGTGGTGGATCTGGTTCAGAAGGCACTTTCATACTTGTGATGTTCAAAGCTTCTGGAAGGTTACTATGACATTTAAACAAGGACAGGTTTCAGAAGAACATTTGTTGAAAAGGCAGTGGAAAAGGAAGGAAAGTATCCATGCCCCTTGTGTGAAAATAATAATAGATTTGTAATTCTGGAATGGGATAGCTTCAGTTCCTGTAATCCATCATCACTGGCTTGCTATCACAGCTGATGAGAATTGGAACCCAACAACATCTAGAGGGACACATTTTGTCCATCTCTATACATAGAAAAACACCATACAGGAAACAGTCTGAGCTAGCACATTACCTCATATTCTTGCTTGGTGATACTGTTTTTTCCCTTTCAGCCTACTTGTTACATAAAGGGAAGCATTTAAGGACAATGTGTACAATCAAAGTAAATAGATTTGTCTATCCTTAATAAAGGAAGAGGTAATAGTTTCTGTAGAGCACCTCTAAATTGTAAAAAAGGTACAGTTTAAAGTGCTATGTAATAACTGTTATCTAGCACCGTTATCTAGGGAATTTGGGAAGAAATCCAAAATAATGAAATGACAATAATTGTCATGTGTGGTGCAAAACTTATCACATGCTTTAGAACAATTCTTTGCAATTTTCGCGTGAAATAAAAGATGTTTGATACTACAATTTGTCTTAATGTTCCTGGATCATGAAATCTTGCTTTTCAGTTATGTTTAATCACTTGTAATAGTAATTACTTTTCCCACGAGGTTGTTCATTACATCTCTCTACTCTGTGCTGGGAAGAAGGGGGTGGGGAGGTCTCCTAAAGGTACCTTATGGACGACAAAGATGAAGCTGATGAGAGTTGGCCTTCAGGGATGAGCGGTGGTGGAATTGCTTCTAGGACCTTCTGGCTCCTTCTAAAATTAAAAAAAAAGAGTCATATCTGGACTATTTCCCACACCTGCATCAATACAACTTTCCTTTAAGAATTACTTCTCAGATAGGAGATATTTTATTTTTAAAGTAAGCTTTAAAGGTTATTCACATATTAACACCCTAATTGTCCACATCCCAGCCCCCAAAAGCATGTTTTATTTCTAACATCATCATCCCACCCCATGTGACTCTTGGAAGCCACTTTATAAAGAATCTCTTCCCCTAAAATCCTAATTTGCAAAAAACAAAAAACCCAAAAACAACAGCAACAAAAAAACACCACCCTGTCTGCCTGAACCCAGAGACTTGAGAAATTCTTGCATTTTGACTGAGTGGTTTATGTAACAGAAACAGATGAGTCATTTAATACCCACAGCCAACCACATCAATTCATTCCACGATCAGAATGAACAGCAAAGACTCAAGCGATGTCCTGTAGATCATTTTATTATCAAATCTGTTTTCACAGGCCTGAGCCCATCATTCCACATCAACTGGTGTTTCCATGGAAGTTTTAATTCTGTACAAATAACTGGTACTTTGAGTAAATAATAGAATATCATACCCATCCATTCCAATGCCTAAGATTCTAACTACTAAGAAAGGGTCTGATAAGAAAGAATATAACATCAGTATTTCTAACCATATCATTTTGGACAAGTAACAACATCTTAAAGAAAATTATTCTACTTCTGAATAAACCAACCCATTTTATGCAAAGCATCGTTTGGCCTGTGGATGCCTATTAAACGTAATTTAATTGTTTTTTAAAATCGTATGTAATTAATTGTCAAACTAATTTAAGTGATTAATCTGAATTATAAATGGATTAAATTATATTATTATAATTGAAATAATATATATATGTCCTTTGAACTGGTGGGGACACCAATGCAGCCCAGTCTTTTAAGAAATATTCTTGACTGACCCACAGTATAGTTGTTCATTGTGTTGATAAGGCATACATTTACATTATAGTTCTACGAGTTCTCATTTATGTACTAATTTGGAAGGAATGATTAGAGAGCAGAATGGCTACCCATTGTAAAGAAGGATGTTAAGATGTTTATCTGCAACAGATATCTTCAGGCAAGGGTTGAAAATTGGCTGGATGGAGGATGGAGCAGCGTTATACAAGTCCCGCCCCTTGTGATCCACATGTTAAAAAGGGGCGGGACTTGCATCATCTTGCTGAGCTTCACTTCTCCTTGCGGATGTTGCTGGAATCCACTGCAAGGCTGCTTACTTCAAAGTCCTATGATTACTTTGCCTTTAAATCAGATACAATATTTTTTTTCAAATAAAACAGGGTTAGATGCCTCCATTGCTGAGGTAACTATTCTTATCTTCTTTGTGTAGAGTTTTTATATTTGTATTTATAATTTTTTTTTAAAAAAAATTCTATTTGTTGTTTTGTCCATTTGCTGTACACTGCCCAGACCTGCTTTTGGTGAGATGGGCTGCTATACAAATTTGATCAATAAATAAAATAAATTATCAACAATAAAATATCATTGATTAGATTATTATCCTGCACAAGTAATATAGATGGCCATAGCAGCCTTAACTCAGTGCTATTGCTCCTGCTATTAGCTTATCCATTCTCACCCAAGGGTTCCAGGTGACAGCCCAGCCGAGGACTTGATTGATCGCCTTGATAGAGTCCCCGTTTTGGCCAGCTGTGTGCTTTGATCCTAAAGGAGAGAGATTACAAGTACAAGATGAAAAATCTGCAAGAACAAGTTGGTGTAGTACATAGAAATCTTCCAAGCAATGGCTGCTTTATCACTTGGATTCTGTTCTTCTTTTTTTTGCCGCTAGCTTGCCATGGTATCCTGAATTTCACACTAAAAGATGTATCTGAGCACTTCACATAGTAATGAGCCCCTGCTGCTCGAAAAAGGGAGACAGTCTAAAGCAGGGGTGTCAAACTCACGTTATTACGGCATCGTCATGTAACGTGTCATGGCTTTTTTCCCGCTCACTAAACTGGGCGTGGGCATGGCCAGTGCGTGATGCATCCAGCCCACGGGCCGCAAGTTTGACATCCCTGGTCTAAAGCAAGCAGATGATAGGCTTCTTTGTGACAAATACTAAATTTTCAGAATTTCTAGACAGAAAGAGTGATATTATTAAACTGCCAGGAAGCAACTAGAAACCTGCAGAGCTTCTGTAAGGAAGTGTTAAAAGCCAGGAGGCATTTGGCACTATTAAGATGAGGTTCTTATGCTTATGAAAGAGAAAAATCCTCCAACCATTTCTTCAATTCCATCATAGTGCCAGGATAAGGGCCTCCCTCCCTCCCTCCCTCCCTCTCCCCCCCTCTCTCCCTACATCACTATGACATTCAGTCAAGGAAACTAGAAGCTGTGGCTGCTGAAAAAGCTATAGAGAGCCTGTGCTATGAAACTCCCACTGGCTTTGAAGACAGGTGCCACCAAAACTGATTGAAAACTGTGAGTAGAATGACAGAGTAACACCCATGGCTTTTATAACAATGGACTTCCAGTGCCCCTGTTGTGCTAGAGTCTGCCCTTTCAGACTGGGATTCCAAACCATCTCTATGTCCACAGATGTACTGCACAACAGTTCAAAGGACTACCTACATAACTCAAAATGAGAAGTGGTAGGACAAAGTATTTATTATCATTCACTGTCTCCTACTCTCTTCATGCCTATGTCTGGTAAATAGGCTTGTACAAAGCTTTGAAACAGTTAGGATCAAATCACCCTGTTGAAGTAAATCTGCAATTCTAAGCAACTTTGAAGTGACAAATCAAGTCAATTGGCTTCAGAGCACTTTGTAAACTTTTGATACACATTGTAGAATTAATGTCTTTTATGCTTCTTCTGAGGTTATTACAGTCAATAGTTATTTTTGCAAGGTTACTTCCATATATGGAGGATGCTGGGAAGGGCAGCTGAATGGTGTAAAGCAGTCATAGATACAGATAGCCAGCAGCAAATACAATTTGTCACTTCATTAAACTCAGTGCTAGGATTTTTTTTAATTTTTTTGTGGGGGTGGGCAGTGATAAGGCTAACATTGCTTTTGGTTTCATTTATTTTCTCAGTTCTCAAGTCCTAAGTCTGCTTTTTTTTGTATGCAGTATCCTGACCTTGACAACACAAGTCAACATTAAAATTCAGCTCTTAGCACTTACAATGTTGTCTCAAGACTGATTGTTCAGGACATATATTTATGTCACATCTTAGATTTAACTTTTGAATGATTTACATATATACAACTCAAGAATGAGAGAACAGGTACCAAGCTAGGACTTAAAGGCACTGCTCTATATGTTTTTTGTTTTAAAAACCAAGAAGTGGCAAGTCTACGGATACCAATTTTTTGTGTGCCAGCCTCTTTCTTCTTGGCTGCCTATTTCTGTGGCATTTTCTTTCACTGTGTCAGCCTGCCCTTGCTGCCTCTGCCAACATAGAGCATTGCCAGCAAGCCACACAACCAAGTCAAACATACGGATCAGGGCTTATTCCTAGGAGGGGCCAAGCTGGCTATCTTACTATGCCATCTCTCTTGATACTCCACAAAGTCCAGTAAACAGAGGTTGCAAATCTATACCAATCCACAAAGACAAGCCGGTGATCATACTTCAATGTTAACCGAACCTGAACTCCAGAAAACTAAAAAGGCTTTACGTTTTGAACATGTTTAAAGGTATTTTATTTAGTGGAATAGTTTCTGCATTAATTCAGCACAACATAAGGCTCATCCAGGCTGCTGCTTCAGTGTTCTTTCTTCCCAACCTTGACTCAGCAGAAAATTGCGCTGACATCAATTGCGTTGTGGCAGGATGTTCTTTTTCACAACAATATCTCTTTTAGGAATGTGTTTTTTCATGGGTACATCAATCTGTTTTGTAGTGCAGATCACTCAAGTGGCTGAAATTACCATGGGGGGGGGGGCACAGGAAGCAAGTAGGTATTTTCTTTGTCAGACCAAGTTACAATGGACACAAAGGTGCAGTGTCTAATGACTGAATGAGGGGGAGGGGCAGAAGCAGTCATTGACTATATAATTCCCAGACTCATCACTAAGGTATTCCAGAGACTCCATGTGGCAAGGTTTGTTCTGGGATAAGAAGGAATGTCCTCCTTCCACACTAGAAGTTCTCAAAAGACCTGGAAAACACTAGAAGACCTGGATATTTACGAGACCGCCTTCTGCCTCCCACCGGCCAGTACGCTCCCACAGAGAGGGGCTCCTCCGGGTGCCGTTGGCCAAACAATGTCAACTGGCGACCCCCAGGGGGAGAGCTTTCTCTATGGGAGCACCTGCCCTCTGGAATGAGCTCACCCTGGAGATACGGACGATTCCAGATCTACGTACTTTCCATCAGGCCCTCAAAACTTTTTTATTTCATCAAGCTGGGCTGGACTAACTCTCCAATGGTGTAATTTTAATTTGAATTTTAAATGGGGGACTTTAACTGTCGGCCAAATTGTTTAATATATTTTTTAATTGTTTTTACATTTTGTATTCTATGTTTTTTACCTATGGCTGTTCACCGCCCTGAGTCCTTCGGGAGAAGGGCGGTATATAAATTTAAATATTAAATTTAATTAATTAAATTAAATTAAATTAAATTAACTCTAATTTGCCTGAGAATGAGATGAAAGCAATATTATGTGATTAGGTCCCTTAAAAACCTGTTAGCAAGACGTCCTCTGATTGTAGTAACTGAGATGAGAGGATAAGCCTTTAGACCCTTTATGGGCAATTTGGATGAAGATATGTTTCTCATCAATACTATCTCTTAAAACAGTCCAAGTCAAATTGGTTTGCTTTCAAACCTTGAACTACAAATGCAAATAGCATCTTGCCTTATCTGAATCTCAAGTCTCCAATTAAAATTAAATTAGGCCTGCTGGTGAATGCCATTTTTTTTTTATAAATGTCACAAATAAAATAAATATTTCTGTCCTATTTTAAAGCATAAAGTTATTTGCTAAAATGTAGTCCTCTGCTTTTCTGAAATTGGCTCCAGTTAATGTAAATACATCATCAATGGTTAGCTACATGAATATGGCAAAGAGGAAGAATGTAGCCTGCAACTTAACCACAGCATTTAAAACTGGTTTCTCTCTATCTCAGGTGCATTTTTCTTCATGCTAAGTTAGAGTCTTTGCCCTTTCTTTAAGATTTCATTAGTCTACCTACCCATAGGAGTTGCCATTATCTGCTGAGCCACTGACTTGATTGCATCTGTTTTAATGGTCCTTTCCTTCTTTCCAACAGTGATGTGCAATTGCTAAGTTAGCAGCTTTCTTTCCATATAGATGATTTTTTTTGTCTTTCTCCAGCTGCTCTGCTAGCAGCATTGAAGCATTGCTTATCATCAGGGCAAGTTAAAATGCCACAAAGCCTTTGAGTGGAAGCAGAGTTTCAAATGACGAGAATGCTACTGGGAAATGAGAGAGAAGCGTGGCAGAAAGAGGTTGTGCTCTGCTTCCTCTCTGTTCAAAATGTCTCTGTCTCATCGGTTTCAGGCACATGTGGTTTCCAGTTCAGTCTCAATGCCTAACCCCAGTTACCAGCACAGACCCACTTTTTTCCTTCAAACTAGTTTGCAAAATGGGGAGGAAGAAAGGACAGTTTATTTTGCAACTTGGATATCTATTCGGGCCATGATATTTGAGAGTCCAATGATTCTGATTTAGAACTGTAGTCCAACTTGGGGGAGGAGAAAAGAGAAGAAATGTTTGAAATATGTAGAAATATATATGGAGGATTAATAGGTTATGAGGAGTTAATCATAGTCTTTAAAATTTCATGACTAAAATCAGTCCCTTGCTCCTTATTTTAAGAAATCATTACTTACTGATAATCCTATATGGAAATCTTAAACAACAAACTGGTGCAAATTTTTATGATGATAAAACATTTTAAAAACTTCTTCCATATCAAGATCATCCAACAAATTCCACAAGCATGATTATGATTATTATTTGTAAACTGCCCAGAGTCATACATTTTTGATAGGCAACATAGAAATTTGATAGGAAGGAGGGAGGGGGGAGGGAGGGAGGGAGAGGAGAGGTAATGGATAATGGATGGAGAGAGAGAGTAGATCTTCTCCGTTCTTTTTTACTTACGGAAAATTATCTAGAGGAGAATGGCTTCCTGAGGGTACAATCGCTCTTTACAAAGGAGAATGAATTTAGTACATTCAGTGTCTGTAGTTTTTGATGGAAGAGGCAGCATGATGCCTATAGACACCAATGCACCTGCAGATATGCTCCTGGATGCCTACTAAGTTTTTTCTCTCATGATTTAAATTTATAGAAACCTAACCTTTTATCTTCCAAAAAATGCTTTTGGGCTTCATAAGAGCTCCAAAGGCCTACTTTAAAAACAAACTGATGTCTGGCTACAACTATGTGGTGCATTTGGAAGTGTGTCCATCTGCCAAAGTAAAAGACAAATTAGAATGGTAGAGAATATTTGGTTGGAGGAATTGGTGAGGAATTACTTCATTAATGGGTGTTTTTAACTTGTCTGTGCCCATAAGAGCAGCCATTTTAGAAAATGGATGCCCTCCAATAGTAGCCATTTTGTGCCCGCATCCATGACATGGATTCAAACTCTTCTTGTACTGAGTGTCTCAATAAGTTGCCTAGCCCTGTTCTACATTTTTATGCTTTTACTTGTTACGCATAAGGTTTTTTTTTCTTTTGTGTTGAAGGAGGAAGAGAGTAATGGCTTAGTAGCACATACGTTTTTCCACAGAGGAAGTGCTTGGAGACACACTGTCTCTTGTTTAATTTTTATGTCTATGTAAGTCATCAAATTCTTGGGTGGGGAAAGAATCTTCTTCTTTACAAGAGCAAAGCTGCACCACATGGTCAGCACACCCAAATTTATTAATAAGAAGACCTAGATACATGCCTTACTTCTGCTGATGCTTAGCAGATCTGATGCTAAATCAGGCATACATTTTCAAAGTCTTCTTCTGTGGACAACTGCCAAATTTCTTTAATATTCTGAAAGCCACATATTTGTTGGTGGTCACATATATGTTTTTCCTCCACAGTTTCCTCTGGGAGGAAATCTCACTAAATTGGATAAAGCAGGTCTGTCTTCTACAGCTTGCAGAGTAAGAGAAGCAGATTGCTTTTTCATGGTGTATTCTTCTTCCCATTTAAAGGATTCAGAAAATAAACTTGACAGAAACCAATATTTTGCTATAATACAGTCCATAAAAGTTCTACAAAGCTAATTGAGCCTAGCACTGATACTGTAAGTTCAGCCTTAAAGGAAGGACAGAGTATCCTTCAAGTGAATATGTAGAAAGAACTTAGAAAAATGTGTCAGGATCAGAATCCTCCCAAAGAGGTACCAAAATTAGAAGGAAAGACTACAAGACTGGTTGGGTCACCATATATATGAGAGCGTGTTTTTTCAAACTTGGAAACTTCAACTCCCAGAATTCACCAATCAGCATGGGGGAACTAAAAAGCCCAGTGAAAAGAATTCACATTAAAACATTATCATGGTAGAAAAGAAGAGACAAATAACTGACATCTGTGGAATTAGTCCCTTCTTCAGTACAGATTTCCAGGTGTCTTTGATGTTATTACTTTACAGATGCAATATCTGTTTATTTATCAGTTATGATTTTTCATGACTCAGCAGCCCACGGTATGAGCACAACTTTCAAAACTGTTTGACTATTATTCCCACAATCCTTTGCACTGGCTGTACTAATTAGAGTCAATAGGATGTTCCAAATCTGGGAGTCTTGTCTTTCTTAACAGAGTGGAGGACTAAAGCATCTCGTTTTTAAATTGGAGAGTGTCCCTTTCTTACCTTGATCCCATGGCCAATGTCATCCAGAGTGCTGAAGTCCAGTGGTTTCCTGTAATAGGGCTGCAAAGGCTCAAGTTTCTTTGGGTAAATGATTTTCTGATAGGGAGGAAATGTCTTGCAAACAGTAAGCGTCCCAATTTCACGACGGGACACTTTCTCCTTATGCATTTCTATCACCTGCAACAGAAAGATATCATGAGAAAGGAGAGAGATGTCTGGCAGGACATAATGGGAAGCATCAGCAGCTGATTTCCCAAGAGAGTTAACAAGCAACACTAAACAACAGAGCTGGCCGAAATGTAACAGGAAGAACAAAGTTCACATCATTAGATCAGATGGAATTCACTGCTATACTGGTGCTACTCTTCCAGGATTTCTTCATCTCATAATTAGTGAATACATTTGGCAAGTGTAGATCAGGGGTGAAATGCTCCTGGATCAGACCGGATCACCCTATCTGGTAGTGATTTTTCCCTGTCGTTCGGCGATCCAGTAGCGATCGCCGCCCAGGTGTCATTATGTTTTTTTACTTTCTGTGATGCGCAGGTTTTACACATGCACAGGTGTGCATGCACACATGATGTGCATGGTGTGTGTGCTTCTGAACTGGTAAGGAAGGTAAGTAGATTTCACCCCTGGTATAGATAGAGAAATATGCAATATGGACTAACTAGGGAGAACCCAAAAATTTGCAAAAATCTACAACAAAATAAAATTCAGCCTTCCCTGCTTGAAATTCAAATGATATCTGTGCACTTCAACATAGTCTACAGTGCTCCACAGATGCCTCATGTTGGCTGTTCACAACTTTGGTGTAGACAGTAAACACCAACATGTCAGCCTATCCCAAATAATTCTCAAATAATATTTTTATGGGAGGAAAAAAGGGCAGAGCCTGTGGTGGAAAGATTACAACTGGAGGATGACCTTGTTTGATTTACTGTGAAATTCCATGAGCAAAGCAAAATTACTTCAAGAGCAGCAGCCAGAGAATGGATTCTTGCATTTGATTGTTTCCCTCCCATTCCTTATTCCTTTTCTACTGTTAGATCAGCCTTTCCATCCTGATCAATTCCAGTTGTAATAAAAGCTATAACTCTCAGAAGACCAGTCTGCCTGGGAACTCTAGGGATTGTGTCCCATCATATTTGGAAAGTTTGAGAAGACTTGACTGCGCGCTGGAAGATCCATTGTTTTGTTTAAAACTCAATGGAGCATGCAGAAATTATTAGTATAATAATATTACAATTATAAGCTATATTGAGAGCCAGTTTGGTGTAATAGGAGTTTTAGTCCCAATTTGGACACAAGCTGGGTAATCTTGAGCCAGTCTCTATTTCTCAGCCCTTGAAAGAAAGTAATGCAAACCACTTCTGAAATATTGTCAAGAAAACTGCAGGGCCATGTTGGAAATGATTCAAAAAGACAGAGAGAGATCCATTAATAATCTGATGAATGCTCAATCATTTTCAGAGCAAAACTGCACTTAGCTTTGGGAGTAAGTCAAACAAATAAAGGATGCAGAGCCAAAGTTTATATTTGATTTAATTTACATTAACATTGATACAATGTAGTTCCTATGATACTTGCCCTGAATTTAATTATTCCCCCCATTCCTTTCATACTACATATTCCAATTCAGCAGTTGAAGGTTACTGAGAGTCAGGCCACTCAATACATAGGAGAGGCAAAGGTTGGCTATCTCAGTGATTTCCAACCCCGATGGAACATATAGTCCTTCATCTTATAAAATAGGCTATACCAGAAGGAATATTGACCTGTTTTTCATCCAGCAAAACATTCCTTATATTCCTGAGTAAGAATGTACATTCATCATCAGTTTGAGTTCATGAATGTGAGCTATTGCTTGTAAAAAAAAAAGAGAGAAAATTCTATTAATAACAAAACAGGATTATAGCACCTAGGACTGAAATCTGGCCATTATTTCATGATTTGAGGCTAAATAATAATGAGATTGCATCAAACTGCAAACCAAGGAAATTGGGAAGCAGTGAGAACAACTTAGGGGCTGATTTAAATATCTCTGAGGAAGGCAGAGAAAGGAGCCCTCTAGGTAGGGTCTCAAGCATATTCTCACTTTGCAATAACCAATATGCCATTTGTTTGGTTAAGCATATTGTGTGAGTCTCACCCTTGTTATTTGTAACAAAGGCTTATGGCTTGATGTGTTATGCAAAATGTGGTTCAGTGCAATATGTGAACTCAGCTACTTGTTGATTGTCAATGCAAACAATACTGTGAGGGATGGATCAGGTCTCATTTGGTAGAAATAAACTTCTCTTTTCTGCTGTTTAAATTGATTTGAACCAGAGATGACTGGTCCGTAGTTCCTCTCCTACCACCAGCTTCCCATCTCTCAGGGGGTGGGGGCATCTAAATTGTTCTATCATTACACACCACATTATTTGGCTAGCACAAATGATAGCATTGTGTCTAGTTCTGCTTGAAACGCCATCTGAATAAGGAAGTGAACTTTCAGGTTGGAAAAGAAGGAAAGAGCCCTACACTGGGTTGAACCTCAACCTTGATTTTTTTTCAACATTTCACTTACTTTCTATCTGCTGAACTGAAAGAAAATATTTGTGGCTACCAAATCATCACCTAAATGCACAATCCTCAGATATGAGCATCAAAATCTGGGAGAAACAATGTAAGTCTAGAAGAGCCAAAAACCAGTGTCTTGCTTTATGAACACAAATTTATTCTAAAATCAGGGTGTGGGGGAGAGGCTTGTCCAAGAGAGACCTGCAGGCAAAATCATATCTGATTTATGCACAATTTTTACAAAGCAAAATTTGAGATCCAGCTTCAACAAACTACACACACACACACACACACACATACACACAAAATGCACACAACTCCCTTGGTTATATAAAAGTATAAATGTTTTGGAAATATAAAGCAAGTGAAATAATACAGATGATTAATCCATTCCACTTACGCTTCCTGATCATGTGTTCTATTTTATTTTGTTTTTGTTCTTACTCTTAGGAAACAGGAAAACCATCAAGCAGGTTTCTAGTCTCAGTCCAGTAACAGGAAGAGGGATCTGATATCTACTGGGAACAGGCATACATCTTCACTCACTTTCAGTAAGAAGTGGAGGGAGAAGGAGAGAAAGGAATCCTTTGGTTCGAAAAATCCAGGGATGTGTCTGCTTTGTGAGCTTAGCAGTGACTCAGAGGGCAAGGAAATTCCCTGAAAGAAATGGACAATGCAGCTTCTGTTCTCCATATATTCACCAACTTCCCATCTCTCCAGGTGTGGCAGTCACACCTCTTACAATCCCCCAGTCACTAAACTTGTGAATGATGGGATTGTAATCTGAGACATTTGGAGGGGCACTATGTAAGGGAAGATTTGTATTTAATTTAATTGATTTATTTGATGACTTTATTGATCTTCTTAGGCCAAAGCAAGTTTAATATAGACAATATAATTTTAAAAATAGATAAAACATAAATCCAACAGAAAGCAATCCAACAATAGGAAACACATCACTTATATTGGGGAAATAATCATACAATTAAATGGCAAGCAAATAAATATCACAAGGCGAAACACAAAATAACTTGTCCTACTGATATTAATCTTAAAATTGCCTGTCATCTACATTACATATGACCTGAAGATCCATTGGGCATTCAGGCTTACTATATATATTTACAATATTCAAGTGTAATTATTTAAGGATTTGAACTCTTTCTTTTGCTAAGATAACTTTTGTTTACTCTCTTGCAAGCATATTAGGCAGATATCTGGATGGAAAAAATGAGAACTCTGAAAATACCAGATTGAAGATACCAGACTGAACTCGGAAGATACTGAAGTAGTGAACAGCCTGTCAAAGCCTCCAGCTGTGGTATTTTCCAACAATGCCAAGATACTTACAAAAAGAGAGATTGGAGATTTACCTTGGATACTGCAGGCTTGGATATTACAAAGCTAACAATATAGGAAGCAGTTGCAGGAGGAATCAATAAATGTGAACAAGACTTCTCATGCCAACCATATAAACTATCAACATGATCAGAATTTCAAAAAAATGATCCAACCCCAAATTTATCTTCCACATAGTATCTTCAGAGTGTCTGCTGAAGCAGGATTCTTGCTCACCTGTTCAATGGAACAAACGTTGGCTTCCACTTGTTGGAGATGGGTAGTCTGCAAATCAAATATTTTGAGGATGTTTCTGGCTAGGTTATTGATTTGATAGGTCACGCTGGCTAATGACTGAACTGTGAAAGTCATGGTTTCCTCTAGGGCTTTTCGTTTATCTTGAGCCTTTAAGTTAGAAAAGAACATGAAGGGGATGAAAGACAATTATGCAAGATAATAGAACAATAGAAGCATATGAAACTGAATTCCTGCTGATTATTCCTCAAGTGTGACATGTATCAGGAAGGGAGGGCAGAACTTTAGCTGGATGACCCAGTTTATAACTGATATTAAGCCATGAAGAATATAAAGTTATGTATCCAACATATCCCAGCCCAGTGATCTTAGATGGGCTGGAGTAGGGTTCTTATAGTCCCAAAGTGCAGGTCCAATCAGTTATGTCGGATAGAAAGTATGACAGTTGCACTCCATTTGGAAGTCACACAAAGTTGGAAGAGACTTTAAACCATAATCATCATTATAAAGTGTTCTCATTGGTATAATACCATTCATTATTTAATGACTCCCAGTCTTCAATCAACATGTATTCTCCTACCTATCAAAAACATTACATTGTCATATTGCCTGGAAAAATAAAACAATAAGTGTTTGTCCTATTCTGTGTGATAGCACTCCTAATCTGAAGAGAGCAATTATTTCCAACCACTACTATAGAGTAGCTGGCTCACACAAACACTAACTTCTAAATTCTAACCTGACTTAATAAAATATAATTCCTATGTTCATATGACATGCTGTACATGTTTTCTGTACAGCAGAAAACATGTATAGCTGTTTGCTGTACATTATTTGTATTATTATAAATAAGGATTATTAGGGATTTGCATGATCATCTGATTCCACAATATGTCCAGTCTCCACAGAGGGGTCAAGTAGAGGGGGGAGTGATGAATGATGCCGACTCCTTATCTTTCATACTTGCATTTCATCCATTGCATTATCTGTGATATTGCAATGGAATATGAAAGGCTTGTGTGATGACATCACAACACACAGTGCAATATTTTGGCATCATTGTGACTAACTGTAGATGCAATAGAATGTAGTATGGTCTCACATATATTCCAGCAAATATAGTATTGCACTATATATTTAGTAGACCGAAGATCGGTTCGCTCCTATCTGGGATGATTGCCTTCTTCTACAGGAGGGACACATAGGGAGTGGTGGTGAAGGAAAGAGATACCCATCTAGCCAGCCAGATCAGCCAAATCAACCCTGGCAATCAATGTGATGATAGATATTTCAGCCATTAGTTACATATCATGGCCAGGGCATGTTTTCTTTGTATCATCATCTCTCTGTCAGTTTGCAGGCCTTCCCGTATTTCAATTAAATCTGAAGGGAAGACATTAAGAGACAACTGCTCCAATGGAAACTTGCAGTATCAATGTTACTATTAGTGCTAAGAGAAAGAATCCTGTTCTTGAAAAATGCTTGGGAAATTTCTCTTCCCCTCCTGCTCTCATATACAATTTCATTGGCTACAAACAGGTAGAGAATTTCAAAAGACCATTTATGCTCAGCAATACTTTATGGATTTATAAACCATAGGAAATTCCTTTCTAGCAGGCCTTGAGCAAACTATTTCAATATTATCTATAACATCTTTCTCCAACTTGGCATCCATTCGCTTGGGCAAGACATCCAGGAATCAAAATATTTTAATTCTGAGAATAATGGCAATAATACAGTGATATTACCGAAAGAGGCAATGCCAAAAATTTTATCTAGTTTTGGGATGAGATAGGAAAAGGCAAAATAGTCACACAAAAATGCTCATTTCAATCTTTATTTTTGATTTTTTATAAAATAAAAATGTTGCATTGCTGAAATTTGTGATTTGTCACCAAAGTTGGCAGTGCATCTTTGAGTCACAATTCTGGAAACTATATCAGCCACAGAAAGAAGGTGGTAAAAACTAAAATTTTCCCACACTTGCTTTAGGTGTTTTCAGTTCCTCCTTCATTGCCACCAGGCTCCCCAATTTATATTAGCAGTAGAGAGCACTGAAAGTCTCAACTCCACATTGACCACTTCCCATGTAGATTCAAGATGTTCATCAGCATATTTTGCAATGTTATAGTTAATGCAGGTGCTACCTTGCTCATTTACCTTGCGCGCATCTTCAGCTGCCTGAAAACCTAGCCCAGATACAGCATTGCCCCAGCCAGGGTACTCCAGAGTTTCTCTCTAAGCTAGTCTGTCCTTGACTTCTCTCCCACTGTAACTCACCTGCTCATAATTGCTGTCACAATAATCTGCCACTTTGAGAAGGTTGCTATAGTTCTCCTGTAGAACATCTCTTGCAGACGGTATGAAGTCCTGAATCAGCTGCTGAAACTCAGACATGTCGCCACTTAGCTGTACTGGATTCACCACTTCCTTCTTATAGCAGACAGTTTCAGCAGAGAAGTTTCAAACAGTCTGGCTGGAAACTATTTTATACTTGATTTGGCTCCAGTGACAATGCTGATCCCTCCCCTTTTGTTCACCAAGAGAATATCCTGCTGATATCTGGAGATTTATTGTAAAAGGTGCCCAAAAAACGGTGCCACTTATTCATCTCTGAATTACAACTACTTTCCTTCTTGAGATTTTGAAAATCTACTCACTTACTGAGTAGAAAAGTGATAATAATGAACTTGGGAAATGTTGGGAGGGAAGAACTGGCAGAATTGTTAAGAGAGGAAATCAGTATTTTTAGACCCATGGTTATTCTACTGACTTCTCTTACAACAGGCCCTGAAAGGTCAACTCTGTCCATATTATTTACAATATATATTTCAAATTATCTTGGGAATACTACTGAACCCAAGCTGAAGCAAATTCAGAAAGTCCATTGTTGGTTTATTTACTGTATTTTTCGGAGTATAAGATGCACCTTTTTTCCCCCCTAAAAGGGGGTGAAAATATAGGTGCGTATTATACCCTGAATGTAGCCCCGCCCACTCACTGGACCCCACCCTTTGGCCTCTGCCTCACAGCAGTTACCTCCTTGCAAGCAAACAGCAAGAAAAAAACAGCTCCTTTCAGCTTCAGCACAACCTAATTAGCACAAGTTGATTGGATCGGCCTCCCGACTCTCAGCTGATTTGCTCTCAGCTGTTTTGCGCAGGGCTCTGCGCAAAACAGCTACTCTTTGCTTGCTGCAAAGAGGTAAATTGCTGGAGCAGATTTTTTTTTTCCTTGTGCTAATCAAGCTATGCTAAAAACAAAAATGAAAGTAAAGCAGGCTGTTTGCTGTTCGCTGCAAAGAGGCAAAATTGCTTAGAGGCAGAGGAAGATTTCTTTTTCTTCTTTTCCTCACCAAAAAAGGTAGGTGCATCTTATACTCTGGTGTGTCTTATACTCCGAAAAATACGATATAATTGAAAGTTGCTGATAGTTCATAGCAAGTCTTCCCTCTTTGTCACCCATGATCTAGGTCACTCTTTTGGACATTCTTAAGCTTTCCCATACTTTTAAGAACCGTAGTTTCTTTCAGTGGCTCCATCTAAGAGTAAGGATCCAATACAGGTAGTTCTCGATTTACAAGAGTCCATTTAGTGACCATTCAAAGTTACAACAACACTAAAAGTTGACATGTCCATTTTTCACACTTATGACCATTGTAGCATTTCATGGTCATGTGATCAAAGTTCAGAGGCTCAGCAACTGACTCATATTTATGACAGTTGCAGTATCCTGGGATCATGTGATCACCTTTTGTGACCTTCTGGCAAGCAAATATTCACTTAACAACCCCATTACTAAATTAACAACTGAAGTGATTCACTTAATAAATGTGGCAAGAAAGTACATAAAATGGAGCAAAATTCACTTAGCAACCAGAAATTTTGCACTCAATTGTGGTTGTAAATCAAGGACTATCTGTATAAACATTTTTGGTCTTTAGAACCATGCAATGCAAGACTCCATTTTACCTTTTCTTATATCCTTTTTCTTAGTTCCATGTTCCTTGGGTAAGTTAGGCAACCTCAGTTATTTGGGGCCATGTTATCTACTCCCTTAATCTCTTCAGTTTAAAAAGCTTTTTGGGATGTGGTCACCAAAATGTGAAAAGAGTAACCTAACAATGTTTAATATATTTTTAAAAGGTTTAAAAATGTATCAGTCCAGGTATAATGAAAAAAAGGAACCATGGCTGAGTGAAGCTGTAAAATATATCCTTAGCAAAGACCATGTTTTATATTTGCATATTGTTTTATGGGTTTTTAGCTAATTGAATTTCTCCTTTAGCAATTTTCTAGGGGACAGGATGGCACTTTTAAATTGGTCTTGGTGTTCTGGTGGCTGTAAATTCATTTTTAATATGTTGTTATAATTTGTGATTCTATTGTGTAAAGATTTGGACATTGTCTTTGAATTCTGCTTTTTAAATTGTGTTTAATTGGTTGTTATGCACTAGGCTACAAATGAACACTGTTATTGCAATTATTGTTTTTTCTGTTGTTGACATTTACAAATCATTGGGTAATATAATGTTTCTATATTCTAAGATCAATGACTAATAAGTCAAAATTCTTTATCTTACCACCATGATAAATCTGGAAGGATGATTTTAAAAAGAGGCCATTGTATTTAAATTTAGTTAGTGTAGACTTGGTAAAATAGATACAGATTCTGGTAAGGTCATTAAAGTCAATGAAATTTAAATTAGACATATTTAAATCCTACTGATTTCATTGCAGAGACATACAGTGTAAGGTTTTAATTGTATGGTGTCAACTGCCATCTTGACTTTTTAATGCATACCATCACCATACAGACGCTTCTACTGTTTCAGTGGCTCTGGCCTAAGTATAAACAGCAAAGTTATGAAGGGAGAGAATTCATAATTTGTTTTTGACAAGGTACCTCAAAATACCTTTGGCAAGAGTCAATCAGGTCTATTAACTATAGCTTCTGAGAGAAGGAATGATGTCTGAATGATTAAAAAAGCATCTTTTGCAAACTGAAAGGAGGAGGAATCTTGGTCAGACTTCTTATTAGGCATTGCTATAAATATCTCTAGAAACTCCCTCTCCCCACATTCGGTAACAGCAGAACCTTTACAGACTTAGGATGGCTAGATGGGTTTATTTACTGTAGACAAAAATAAATGCAGCAAGGCTGACAACTGCACAAATACAAGAATATACACACAATATATATTTGGTTGGATTCTTGGTTTCCCACAATGTGTATACACAGACTTCATACATACATACACACTACAGTGCACAAGTATATACATGCAGGATTTGCGCTGTAATCTCTCTAAATGTGTATCTTTGTTCTGTCATTATGTCTAGCTTGAGATGCCTATAGCTCCCAGATTTAAATTTTGGGGTTTATCTGTTCCACATTTATACAGTATATCTTGACTGGTAATCATTGGTTCTTGCTTTGTAGTTTCAGTCCTCATACTTACTGTCCTGCTCAGATTATTTCTCTTTCATGTTAGCCGAACCAATCAGTCACGTTTGAAGGTGAAAAGTTTGAATTGATTACACTGAAGGTATCACTAGTTCTTGAATTATGATTGGTCACTTAATTACCATTCTAAGTTGCAACACTTTTTTAAAAATATCTATTTAAGACCTGTTCTTATAATTACAACTGGCATGCATACAGGGACCCATGATCATGTGATAGCATTTTGGGTGCTTGGCAACTGGTTCACCTTTGCAGCATCCAATAGTCACATGATTGTGATTTGCAATGTTTTCATCTGTTTCTGGTGTTTTTGTTGGCTTCTGAAAGAAAATGCCAATTGGATATTTTGGATTTGCTTAACAACTATCTGATTTACTTAAAGATTGCAGTGACTCATTTTATACCTATGAATCTAAAAATGGTTGTAAAACTGAGTCCGTGGTATCTCAATTTATGAGCACAATGAAATATAACAAAATTTTTGGGGACCATCGTGGTTATGAGTCGAGGACTATCTGTAGCATCAATGAAGATTTCCTTTGAAGAAACTCTGTATGTTTACTTCCTGGAAACATACCATATTGTACTCACACATGGGAAGGATGCAGACTTAGGTTAGTCTAGGTTGCATAGAATAGTATGAACAATCTTGAGTTAAAACCAGGGTCTTGTTACAGTTTTGACATGTTCCACTGAATGGAAGTGTCCTTTTCATTGACAGGAAATGTTGCATGTGACACATTTATAATTAATCTTAGTAATTTAAGATACATCTCCTTTATTTTATTAAAAGCATTATGTGAAGCCTTGACTGACCAAAGCTATGATGGCAACAGAAGTCAATATCTAATGGTCTACAAGATCTGACTATGACCACAGCATATGGAAGGTTGGACTATGAAAGGAATAAGTAGTAAATTACAGAAGTTAACTCTATAAACGAAAGAAGGATATGCTCTATTTGTGAATCTGAGACAAAATAGAAGATACAGTGTTTCTGAATAAAGGTGTTCTGATCTGGTGGAGTGGATCAGTGGTGGGTTGCCCCCAGTTCAGACCGGTTCGCAAGAGCTGGTAGTAAAACCGGTGGGAGGCTCCACCCACTGACCCGGATATTATCAGGAAGTTTCTGAGCATGCGCAGAAGCTTCTGCACATCGCAGATGCGTGAATGGTCCCGCTGCGAACTGGTAGTAAAGGTTAGTAGAACCCACCCCTGGAGTGGATGCAGGAAAGCGAATGTGTAGGTTTAATTATAAAACAGAATATAATAGGGTTGGAAGGGACGTTGGAGGTTTGCTAGTCCAACCTTCTGCTTAAATAGGAAACCATAACCATTTCAGATAAATGGCTGTCCAATCTCTTCTTAAAATCTTCTAGTGACAGAGCACCTACAATTTTGGGAGACAAACCATTCCACTGATTAATTATTCTCACTGTTTGGAAATTTCTCCTTAATTCTAGAAAGAGTTAAAATATATGCTATAAAGCAGGGCATCAGCATTAATTAAATGTGGTTTTTCTTTGGGTAACAATACTCAAGCCCTTTCCTCAAGCAAACAGAAACATTTAAATTTGACCTTTCCAATAAACGGTTTTGACTAATGAAGGAAAAGGTTTGGGAAGCACTTTTATAAAGTACTAATTGTATAATCTGTGTGCATATGAAAGTAAGAAATCACAATGTGATGATAGTTGCAAATCCAGTGAATAATGTAGAAGTATGGATGAGAGTGATTATTTGATGACCAAAAAGGAGACAAAATTATGCTGAAATGAAGGAGACAGTAAATCAAAGAGTGGAATGGAAATGATTAGTTTATACCTTAGTGTCCAAGGAAGAATGGATGAAAAGTATGCTAGAAAATTGTGAGATTTTGGCAATAGGTATTAAGTGGAAAAGTTTAGAAATATTAAGCTGGGTTGTTTATGGTGTGGCTATGTGACTTGTTTAACATAAGTGTGAAGTTTTTATGTATCTGACCAGTGAATGCAAAAGCTACATAAAAATTAGACTGTTAACTGTACCTGGGAAGGTCTTTGAAACACTTCTCATTCAAAAGGTAAACAATGAGTACATTTTGGGAAGTGTAGTAGGGTCAGGGATATATAGGCCAACTTTTGACTCTTACTTGAAAGTAAGAAAGAAAATGTGTTGATTTATATAAAATGTATATGTTTTAATTATAAAATATTTTGCACAAATACAGAGTTGGTGGTTAGTTGCTGAATGTAGTAACAGGAAGATATGGCAGAAGTAACACTTATGAAAATGAATGGAATGCTTAGCAAGTTTTTCGAGAGTGAGCAGTTACCCTAAAAGTGATGTCCTGTTGGAGACACTAAGAAGGCTTATAGTGACATTAAAAATGTGTTAGTTGGGGACCTGAATGCACATGTATACAGCCGATACCTGCCTTTTTGTTGATTAAGAACCCATATAATCTGTGGTCAATGTTGGATAGATTTTATGATGACACAAAGGATATGGAAAGATATTGTAAATAGTGATGGTGCATAGCATTAATCTCCTCCTCTTCCTCTTCCTGCCCCCTCCTTCTGCTTTTAACTTCTCTGGCTTATTATATTTCTTCCCCTTTTCTGTGCTTTGCATAATACAGCTGTCTTGAAAGAGAATATTAGCAGAATTTGTATTCTGCTAAGATCCCAGTTTCAACAACGTTAGCAAGCTATCACTTTCCTCTAGCAAAACCATATCTAAAGCATGGTCTTCATTTTGTGGTGCTGGCTGTAAAATTGAATCAAAGAGTCCATTGACTAAATGGGGAAATATTTGAAAAAGGATGAAACAAAATAGAGGTACTAAATTATGCCTTCTGGTAATGTTGTTATGTACATCATCATAATAAATTAACTTCTTTGTGCTTAGCATCCATTTTAATTAGCATCAGTCAGATTTGAGAACTTACATGCTAGCCTGTATTTTAAAGGTGTTGATGTCTCTGGACAAGTTTCTAGGATTCAGATCTCCATTTAGAGAGAAAAGCTATGGCTGTCTTAAAAGAGCAATGGAGATTTACTGCATTTTGTTGGAAACTATAAACACTCCCAACTAAAAATAGGCTCCATCCACTCATAAAAGCAGTAAGTCCAGCATCAAAAGCTCCTGAGTATGCAGGAGAACTACACTTTCTTTGTAACAAATAAGAAGTCACGTTTCATGAAACGTATATGATTGAATTAGCCATTGAATATCACTGCTGAGATAAACTGAGACTGTGGTTTTGCCCAGGTTCTAATAATATAGATTTATTATGTGCTGTAATCTCCTGTCATTAAGTAAGGAATTAGTGTCCATGTAAAGATTTAATTTCAGTAAAAAAATGTTAAGATACTTTGGATATTATATTGCTGATAAAATAGAAGTATATGTTTGGGTCAAAACATGAGGAATGCATTGTGCGTCCTGATACCTATTTAGTTCTCTTCACATTAAGCCACTAAGTACCTTTAGAAGACTAATGCTGGAGAGAAGCTATGTCACAAATTTAACCTGAATTTGACCTTCATCCAACTAGGACACAGGAATAGCTTTCTCTCACTTGCTCTTCCCCCATACACACACATTCCTTATACACACAAGTATACACAATGACTGGAAGCATTCCCTCCTAAACGTAATTATGTTGTAACATTGTATGATAATTGAATTGGTAATATAAATGCAGTATTCATGGCTGAAAGGACACTTTCTAATGATTCAATGTATTCCAAGAGTCAATCCTGGCAATAGATTTGGGGTATATAAACAATCTCTATCATACCAGATAGTAGCACCTAGCTGAGCATGGTTAATCTAAGTAGGGTCAGATTGGCTAACTATTTGAATGGAAGATCATCACTAAATTGTAGAGCTATAGATTAAATTGGAAAGCCATAAACCATTGCCAAAGAAGGCAAGAATAAATAATTTATGTATTGCTAGCAAGAAACCCACAAGGGAGCATCCACTCAAGCTTACAAGAATTGAACTTGAGTTGATGGATGCTTCATTCTCAGACTGTACATTGATATAGTGAATCACTAATTTTCCTAGAGGAAACAGGATGAATGTCTAAAAAAAGATGTGTAAACTCATCGGTCAATCTCATTCAATGGCCATGGAACCTCTCAGGGAATCAAACTCGCCATCTAATTTTTCATTATTTAGATCATATGCTTGTTTATTCTTCTGATGAGTACTGATCAACTTTCCCAAATATGCCATCTGTCTGAGCTTACTTTGGACTTTGAGGTTAATTCTGAACACCTGACCTGTTCCAATATGCTGAGCCTATTACCAGATTAAGGACAGAATACAATCAGTACCAAAATGAGCTCCTATCTAAATACAAAGACATTTTTGAGCAGAACAGTGGAGGTGGAGGAAGATCTTGTCTTACCAGCTAAGGCAAATGTATATCTAAGGCACCCTGATTATTTGGAAGAAAAACCACTTCAGAAGAGGTAAGTTTAATTTTCTTTCATAGAATGGAAAAGCTCATTCAAACTTATAGCAGTTTATTCTGTACACATTTATTGGCTAGAAGCCAAATTTATTTCAAAAGAAATTTGCCAATAAATAAATGTTATGTCATTAAGTGTTGTACCTTATGATTCTTGATGAACGTATCTTTTCTTTTATGTACACTGAGAGCATATGCACCAAGACGAATTCCTTGTGTGTCCAATCACACTTGGCCAATAAAAAATTCTATTCTATTCTATTCTTTGTGGGAATACATCTTTTTGCTGCAAATTCATACAATGCAATATGTATACCAAAACATTTTTATATTCAGATTTGGCGATGGAAAAACAAAATCCTTTTACAGAAACATGAAAGGAACATGATAGTAGTAGATTACAGATATATACTGATATGTGCCTGCCACCTGCATTATCAAGATGAGTGTGTATCAAAGGTACCAAAACTTCATCCCAACATAACACAAAAGTCAAATCACAACTTGTACTGTCAAGGGAAAAAGTTCACAATGTAACACAGAACACCTGAATTTAAATTTTCAGTCAGTTCTAGTGTACCTTATGAAATCCACTTAGTCTGGATTCAACATTATGAAAGGAATGTGATACTGGCCTTCTGTATTAAGGAACGTATTCCTCAAATAATTGATGTAATAGATTTGCACAAACATTAGCATCTGGGCAGAGCTTGGTGCTACTTTTATGATTTCCTAGGATTTGTTAAGAATGGTTAAATCTTTATTCCTTTATATGTGGTGATCAGTATGTTGATGATAATCCCACATAATAAGTATGAATTTTGAAAAGCAATGCTCCACTGGGATGATTTGTCAAATATTATTCAATCAATCTTGCTGTCGGTTACCCTTGTTGTAAATGTTGTTGGCATTGGCACAAGGAACACTGGCTGATTTAGTTGGTTCAGGCAGACTGCGATCAGTATTGGTGTCCAAATGGTAAAATTCACTAAAGAAAAACAGCATGTTATGGATGCAGCACATAACAGCAACAATTCTTAGCAGGAGGAGTGAAAACAATGTAAATGGTTCCCTCTTATCTACCTTCCAGATTGAAATTCAATTCAATACCCACCTTTCACTTCTTGGGTGTTCATTCTGCCTTTGTTTTTCTAGTTGTTTAGTTCAAGAAGTGCTGTTCATGTTGACTTATCAGAAATCCCTTTGTCATAACTCACAAGAACTCTGCCACTCCCTGGATTCAAAACTTGGAATATTTTGTCTGCTGCCAGGGCATACCGGTAATTCTGGGACATATGAAGACATTGTAGCTAAATTTAGCCATGGGTTACTTTTGCTGCCAAGAAAGTTCAGGGTGCTTATCAACAGAGAAGGGGACAACCAGAGATTGTTTTGTATCGAGACTTTCGTTGACATGGAGCTCAATCTTTGCTGCAAAGGATTCTGGGAAATATTGTGATATCCCAATGTAATCTGCTAGTTGTAAAGATGAGGGAAAGAAAATTGTGCATATTGCTCTGAAATCTTGGGAAGATGGAATGAAATAAAAATATTAATCAGCAGCAAACATAGTTATACTTAGGGAAAAATCACTGAAATTAGTGGAACAAATTAATCATGGCTAATATTCCCACTGATTTCTGGGATTCTTTAAACACAGATCTGGGCATTTTATGGCCCCAGGCCACAGCTGGCCCTTTGGCTGGCCCTGTCCAGCCATATCAGGTCAATCTGAAATTAGAAATCAAATATAAATAAGCACATTGCAGGGAGCAGATGAAATTGAGTCAGCTCCCTCAATCAACTAGTGACTGTGGGAGGGCGAGGAGAGAAAGCACTCTCTGTGCCTGCACAATGTTCCCTCCTCACCTGGAAGAGCCTGATGAGTTTGTAGAGTTTAAGGACACTGACCTATCTAGCACCAATTTAGTGCTGAACATTAGTTGATCAGATTCTTGTGTGCAAGGCAAGCTTTAATAAATCATTTAGGTTAGCCCTAGCACAAGCCTAGAAAACAGATCAATTGCCAACGGAGCAGCAAATAATTCAAAAAAATTATATATGTGCAGAAATGGATAGACTTGAAATTAAAAGACAAGGAAGACTCACAGTATTTTAAGGTATGGGATAGTTGGTATGAGTGGATAAACCAATGGAAAAGAAGGTAAAGTTAAAATTTAGTAAGAAATTAAAAATTATAATTATACACATCATTAAGATAAAAGAGGAAATAAGTCATTGTGTATATTTGGGCTTGTATATATTACACATATTTAGTTTGTTTGTTGTGATTAGCATTGCTGATTGTAATTTTAAGGTTGTGAATGTTTTATATAATTTTATCTTTTTAAATTTAATATTGTTTTTTAAAATCAAATAAATAAATAAATCATTTATGCTGCAACCTATATGAATGGTCCTGATTTTCTGAGCCTGATAATTCCCACGATGGAGACCCTATTCCTAGAATACAATTTGAAAGCCAATGCTCTAAGATAGGTGTCTAACACAAAAGCTCTAACACATATTCTAGCAACTAAACTCTTGAAAACCTTACAGAGGCTATGAGTTACAGGATGGTTTAATAACCATCTCCATACAGAATGCAAGAGTTTCTGCAAAACTGTCATCATATAATTATATGCTGTACTGAGTTCAACCAAAATCTAGACATCAGAGCAGAATTCACCTCTGGCTGTGCACTCACAAAGAGAAACAAAAGGGATAGAAAATGTCTATGGAGATTATTAGCCATCCAGGTCACAGTTAGTTGAAAGGTGCTTTTTCAAAAAGCAACAGGACTTGTTTTTGCCTAGAGGAAGATGCTTCATTTCTCATCCAAGAACTGAAGAAGCTTTTTGGATGAGAAGCAAAATGACTTCCACAATGAAAAAACAAATTCATTGACTTTTGAAAAAGCACAATTCAGAAAACGGATAGAAAGAGTTAAAAACAGCTGATTTGTACTTGAAACAATTTGGGTCTAAAATTGAGACACACTGAATCCCAAAGTCTAACTTCATTTTGTTTGATGACCTTGAAGAAAGTCTGCTTTACCTTCCTTGTCATTCTCAGTCTTCAAAATACTGATAAGGCTTACCTTCCATCCAGGCTGGAGAGGCTTAATTCATTAGCAAAATAAATCGCTTTGGATCTTATGGATGGAAAAAGTCTCGTGAAGGGCAACTTGTCACCTACCTCCAAATAGCAAAAAGATTATAAAAATGTTACACCTGATTTGTTTTGCAAAAACAGGTCAATGTTCCTTGTAGTTAAAAATATACCTGTGTGTATACTTGTGTATTCCAATTCCCCTGCTTAAGAAAGTAACAAATAACATATGTTCACCCCTACACGTATAAAGCCGTAAAGCATCCTTCCCCAACCTGGAACTTCTGAAATTTGTGGGATTTTGACCACTATTTTTATTTCTGTCTACCACAGTCAGTTTGTTTGGCTGACAATTGGTGTCTAACATATATTGCACGTACTAGATTGGTGACAATTGAAACAAACAAAAAATGTCTTCCTAATATCTGCACATAAAAAAAATTCAAGCATTTCCCTAAAGGGGTAAAATCTCTTTAAAAACTCAAGCTCAACTTTCTGCCTTAAGGGTCATATGCTTTTTATAAACAGTATTGAACTTAGTTGCCATTGTTTTCTTTCAGAAAGTTTTTCTTTTTCACTACAGTGGTGGGATTTCTTGATAGGTTTGAACCAGTTTGCAGATTTATTAAACTGGCAAATAGCTTTTTTAATAAACTTTATTAAAATTCTACATATAAAGAAACATTTAAAAATACAAGAACATGTTCAAAAAGATAAATTTGCAAATACGAAACTAAAGAACTTTAAAAAGCATATAGTCTACTTCTACCTTTTGCTTTTCTCAGGGATCAGTAATCATTTCTTATTCTTTTATACCATCATAGTTTTTTTAAATTTTCCATTATCTTCCTTTATTTAATCTAAATACTACTTTAACAGTAGTTTAGTCCACTGCACCACCAGGCTCCTAATATAACTCTCTATAACTTTAACTCTCATCTTTCATTTGGGAGTTCATGGCTTTGTTTATGATGTCCCCATTCTCTATTTTTGCTCACAACACCCATAGTATATTGGTTGAAAAAGTCACTGGCTCAAGGTTACTCTGTACCTTTCGCCATGCCCTTAAGACTCTTTTGTTCCACCAGGCCGGGCTGGCTTAGCAAATGAATTTTAAATCGGGTGTTTGTAGTTTTTTAACATAAGGGCCAAATTATATATATATATATATATATAATTGTTTTTAATTTTTTGGGTATATGTTTGTTTTAATATGGCTGTACACCTCTCTGAGTCCTTCGGGAAAAGGGCGGTATAGAAATTTAATAAACTAACTAAACTAAATTTACTCAATGCGGAGTAACTAAAAGGGACTAGAATCTGGATTTCTCTTGTCCGAAGCCAATATTTGAGTATTTCTGAGATCAATCTTGAAAAAAACTCCTTAGGATTCTTAAGAGATTCTGAACTCTGCTGGATGGTTCAGACAATTCCCTAAAGTGAAGAATTAAATATTAAATTATTTTAAATCTTAGATTAGGACTACAAGTAAGCCATATGATGATTTGTTGGGTTTTGGCTCATTATAGTGTCCAAACATATCACACTGATGAAATGAAATGCCCAAAATCCTAACTCTTTCATTGACCCTACCACATTATTATCACATAACTCTGTTACTCTCAGAGGCTACAAAATTACATTTTGAAAGTACGATGATTAGACACAAAACATCAGCCAGTCCATGTTAATCAGAGTAGCATATGGCAGTAACAGGACTTTGGATAAGCCTCTTAACTATAGAGCCTTGATAGTACAGTGGTTTAGTGCACCCTGTTATTAACACAGCTGCCTGCAATTTCTGCTGGTTCGAATCTCTCCAAGGCTCAAGGTTGACTCAGCCTTCCATCCTTTCTAAGGTAGGTAAAATGAGGACCCAGTTTGTGGGGGCAATAAGCTGACTTTGTATAAAATATACAAAAGAATGAAGGCTATTGCTTAATGCATTGTAAGCCACCCTGAGTCTCCGGAGAAGGGCGGCATATAAATCAAATTTTTTTTAAAAAAAAACTGATTTAATACAGATTTCTTTTAATAAGATTGAAAATCTTAACTGTCAAGATTGCATTATGGTTGTGAAACAAACACATATTGCTCCTGGGCTGAGGCCCAAATTATACCAGGTAGTAATTAGATGCAAGTTACCAGATTATTAAAAGTGAAATGAAACACTATTGACCTCTTTTCACCTTTGCCACTCCTAGGAAGAATACAGTAATTTAATTTAATTTATCGCATTTTATTTATCGCAATAAGTTTTCTTGCCTCTTTTATCTTCTAGTTCTGTCACTGGGTTCCTCCTCCTCTTCTTCCTCAGTGCTGCCAAATTAAGCTCTAATGCTATCAGTTAGAACTCAGTGTGCAACAATTCATTTCCCCCCCCCTCCTTAATAAGATTTATTTAGAAGTTAAAAAGATTGAAGAAGCAGCAGGAAAATACCTTAAACTTAAAACTGGGAGCAGTCTTAGTCTTGACTTTCTCAAATAACTTCATGAAAATAGCTAGATATTCAAGAATGAAAGATACGAGCCATCACTCTGTCCTCTTAGGATTTTGTGTTGTTTTTTTTGATCATATGAAAAAGAAAACAAAGGATATTTACAAGCAGAACACTACAATCTTGGAACTGCAAAATGGACATCTCTCCTGGAATTAATCCTAGACACTATTTTTGTTTCTGAGGGTCAGTAGCTCATGATTCCTTGTGGAAGGATTGGATCTTGGGGCTGATATCCTTTGGCTCTGAAGGATCATCCAGAATCAGCAAATGATAAAACTATTGGCCAAGAAGCTCAACATCAAAAAACAGAAGTGGACATGTTGATCACTTCACTGCTTTTGCTTTAAACATGTATTATTCTTTCCTCCAGAATTATTCCTCCCATAAGACACACATGGGAATCCAAGAGGTGGGCTGAAGTAAGAGGTCAACCAGGTTTACCTCTGGTTGTTTAACTGTGATCAATTTAATAAGCATAATTGTGTTTGTAGTTGATTGACAGATGGCTTATTTCTGCCTGGAGAGCTAATATGGATTGATATTTGTATTACAGGGCATAATGGCTCAGGATATGACTGAGAAGGAGCTAAAGCAAATGGAATTAGATCAACTGAAGAAGGAAGTGAAGCTTGAAAGACAAATGGTAATGGGTTTACTACAAAAATCAGTGCTTCTGCATCAACAGACCTTCAGAAGTGTTAGTCTACATAGCTTTATGTTATGCCAACTAAAAGTTATAGCAACCGATGGGCTGATTTTCTCTTGTTCAGCCAGTTGGTGTCAGTATAGTAATACTTTCTGAAATGCAGAATATTAAATTGTCAGAGGGAAAGAATAAAATCAAATAAATAAAATATAAAAGAGACAAGTGACTAGAAAGTTAACTTGCAGAAGGCAAGTTGAAATAATTAACAGTGGTGCAGGAATATCATGCAATTTGTAGTTTCCATGTTTCAATTGTGTCTTCACAGGGCATTGTATGAAATATTGCTTATCATTCCAATGATTTTTCCTCTAAATAACTATGCTAAATTTTCATGTCTAAAACATGTTTAAAACACAAAACTGCATTAAGACAACATAAATATCTTTGCCAACAAATGGAATCCCCAACAAACGGAGTCCCCAACAGTTTTAGTCACAGGGCATATCTAGAAAGTTCTATGCTACCAACTACTCTGGATTGGTTAGGACAGTCAAGTTTCAGAGAGAGGAACCAGCTTATCTGAATCAGGCTGGGATACAGACTTGATATATACCAGGGGTCCTCAAACTACGGCGCGTGGGGTGGATACTGCCTGCCAAAGCCATTAATCTGGCCAACCTCCCCATCTTCTAAATGGAAGCCATCCTGTGACAAAATGAGGAAAAATATCATTAGCACAGAGCAGGAAAAAAAATGAAATTCACATTGTTCCACAGTTTCAAAAATCTTCCTACCTTCCTTTGTTCCTGTTGTGACTCTGACCCCCGAGCCCGTCTTATCGGAGAGAGAAGACTTCAAAAGTGAAGGAGAGGAGTTGGCAAGGCCTCCCTCTCCAGGACCCTCCTTTCTGGCAATGCGTCAGGTGTCTTCCGAAGGAGAAGAGATAGGCCAGGAGCCAGGCATTTCCGAGCAGCCGCAGTTAGACTGCAACGGAGATAAGTCTTGGCTGGCTCCTTGACAGCGTCGGAAAGACAAGCGTGCGCAGCAGAGAAGGAGGTGTGCCAGAGATTAAGCTGAGTCACTGGACCACACCCCACAGGGGATAAAAGGGGGTGTGGTGGCCATTCAGGCTTTGTGACGGACAAAACTGAAAGCTAGCAAGTCATTCTGCATTTCTGGAACTTTGTTATATGCTCTGCTTGGACTGATTTTTTGGACTGGACTTGACTATTCTTTGGCTTTTGTGGACTTTGATATTTTTGGTCGGAGGAGATAAACCTCCCTTTGTAAGTAAAGACTGTTGGCAAGCAACCACTGGGTTGCTGCCAATTCTGTTATCAAAGGAAATTCTTGTCTGCTGGTTTATTTTAACTCTTGGTCGACTGCTGGTGTGCGTGTGTGAGATGGGGACAGAACATCTTGATTAAATTTCTGGTGACAGACAAGATGTTCAGTCCCTGTCTCACACACGCACAGCAGCAGTCAACCAAGAGTTAAATCCTAAATAAATAAATCCTTCTCCCTCCGTCCCTCCTGTTGTGGTCGGAGTCACAACAGTTCCTCAGTTCTAAGGAAGATAGGAAGACTAACTTCTAAGGAAGAACTGAGGAACAGTTCCTCAGGAACAGGATAAGTTATGGCATCAACTGTATGGCATCAACAGTTTCTGTTCTTCAGGAACAGGATAAATTATGGCATCAGCTAGTCAGACTGAAAGGTTAAGTTACTGTGCAGAAATAATTTGCAAATTTTATATTAGTCAATCCACTTAGTAATGTTTTCTGTGAAGATATTTTTAGGACATAAATATACAATCTATGTTAAAAGCTATTTAGGAGAATCAACAAAAAAAAACATGCTATAAACAGCATAGCAGAATGTACAGTTATTAAAAATTTGCCATCAAGAAATACAATTGTATTGAATGATCACTGATCAAAATTCACGTATGAAACTTGAGGACAAAAAAAAACCTGGCTTCTTAAGAGGTTAGGAAGACTAGTCATAGAAAAGTTTTGGTCTCAAGGAAGATTGTTCCCATTGTACCAAATGCCTCCATTATTAAGATTTTATTTTGAATGTATATGTTTAGAACTTGAGAAACAGAATGAAATGTAGTAGTAGCAAAAAGAAGCAAAATAATTACTCGGAATTAATCATTTTGAGTTTACAAAAAGCTGAAACAGTGAAAGTGATACATTTGAGAATCACTTTCTTATACAATCTTGTGATTTTTATTTAGAATTACAACTCTGTAGAAAGAATGAAAGAAAGCCTTCCAAAAATATTCTTCCTTAATTCTCTTGCAGGAAGGGTCTCTATTAATTCCCTAGGACCATCATACTATTTAGAGGTTGTAAATTAGAAATCAAAAGTTCAGGAAATGAAACACTTTTTTTCTCACATAGATCTCCCAGACAGCAAAAGAACTCAGAACCTTTATAGAATCTATGGCTGAAGAAGATCCTCTCTTAAAAGGGATTCCAGAAGAGAAGAATCCATTCAAGGAGAAGGGAGGTTGTACAATAAGCTGACTCTGGCCCCACCCAAGAGAAGATCTTTGTGTAGCTCTCTTTATATACTACTTAGTACTGTATGAAATATGCTTACCCTATACAATGAATCTAAATCAAGATTGGGGAACCTTTGGACCCAAAGGGTGCTGGGGGGCTGGTAGTCCATTAGAAGGTCCACAGGATCCCCATCCTTAGAAATTTTCTGCAGGAGGGAATTTAATCATGCCTCAAAAAAAAGGAACCAGAACAAATTTATGACCTATATATATGTATTTCTCTTTAGCCAGGTTCTTCCTATGTAAACCAAGATTTTTATGTAGCCCTAGTTCAGTGAAATCACAATCCACTAATTTTTAGGCTTTTTTCTTTTCCTGGCAGCCAGCAAACACTCTGCTGCCCATTGGAAGACTAAGGAGGAAAAAAAAAAGCCTACGAAAAGGAAAGAATATATATATATATATATATATATATATATATATATATAATATTATATATATATATGGGTCTTTGGTTATTTGGGTTTTCTCCCGCGTAAAATTGGAAGTGTCTTGGTGACGTTTCGATGAAGTCTCATTCGTCATCTTCAGGCTGGTGTTTTCGGCTTCTAGGAGACTTCGTCGAAACATTGCCAAGGCACTTCCAATTTTACGCGGGAAAAAACCCGAATAACCAAAGACCTACATACAAACACCTGCGAAAACCTCAGAAAACATATATATAGAGAAAGAGGGGGGAAGGGAGGGAGGGAGGGAGACAGAAAGAAGACATCTCTTTTAGGACTTAAATTTAATTGTTATTTTTGTAAGTAGGTAGTCTTTATAAAGTATATATTTCCTGAAGCAGTCTAGGCAGAGGTGGACTAGATGATCTCCAAAAATATATTATTCTTCTATATTCCCTATTCCATGATTTATTTATTTTTTAATTGGATGGTTTGTTTTTTGCAGGAAAAATGATGCAGGCTTGAAAAAGAAACAGAATAGAAAAAACATTATTATTAAAGATTTCTCTCTCCTTCCATTCTGCCAAGTGGCTACTTGGAAGGCTTTAGAAATATGATTTATTTGGTTATTCACTTGTATTACACTGTTTTGGTTTTTGTTGTTTTTAGAAACATTTGTAACTTAACCTAGTTTTCCCATTTGCACCAACTGATTAAGTAGTACTTTACTGTCAAATGTTAAAAACTAGAATCTCTCAAGCAATGTATCTTTAAGATTGCAGAATGCAGGTCCCTAACATGAGGTTAAGGAATTCTGACGTGCACACATCTGAAAGTTGCTAAGGTTGAGAAACACTGGTCTAAACTACAGTCTTCGTATGCAAGAAAGTCTCACCACAAAGGAAGTTGGGCTAAGAAAAGCAGACTCTCCATAACAGAAACACAATATACAAAATGATATTATGGTGAAAAAATCCAGATCGATGGATAGTGAGATGGCAGCATATAAATTTAATTAAATAAATTAAATTAAAATAATGGAATGATTCTTGGCTTTCTTTTATTACCATAACTAACTACTTCTCAAAATATACTGGGAACTATATCACCTGTTCTGAATGCTCAGTTATTCATATTTGTGTAGCAAAATCTCAATTCTGATGTTTACTACAGAAAATTAGCTTTGAGAAGAAGCTATTTGAAAAGGCTAAACTGCAAATGGAAATCATCTGCTATTCTCCAAATTGAGTTTTGCCATGTTCCTACCAACTTAACATTTCATCTGATTGTTACTTTTACTTCTCAGATCTTACTGCAGATAGGATATTCATCTACTCCTGAGACAAAAGAATTGCAAAGCATTTGGAAAAGTAATGATAGATAGATAGATAGATAGATAGATAGATAGATAGATAGATAGATAATTAGATAGACACAGACAGAGAGACAGACAGACAGATAGATAGAGATAGATAGATAGATAGATAGATAGATAGATAGATAGCTCTGTACTATTATCAACAGCAGATATTTATGTCACTACATATTATACAATAAATGTTTAATTCCACATCTAGCTTTTGCAAATTGTATGAAGTACAGAGATGACTCTCTAATAGTTTTAAATTTAAAAAATGCACATTTTTCCATGCAGCACTGAAATAGCCTGTTTTATTATTATTCATTTGATGGAAACTCATACAAACATTGTAGAAGGCATGCATATAAGGCATGAAGAGTACAAAGAAAGAGAGAAATTCTGAGCTGGTTTTGACAAGAAAATCATGCTACCACTTTCAAAATTTACTTATTTCACTTAAGAAGCAGAATGGCTAAGTAAATCTATTTAATTCCATATTTTAAAGTTTGATTTGACCACCTGAGCATTAATCCAAAAAGTTCAATCCTATACACAACCTCTATGAAATGTGAACACCCCAGAAGCATTTCAAGGGTATAGAAAAGTCAGTGCCAGGAAACACACATTTCTTCTTATATTCAATTTGTCTTACTTTATTGATTTATTTATAATACTTAGACAAACAGATTATAAACACTTCCCTAAGATATATCATGACAGCAGCTCCAAAGTCCAGACTTGCTGTTAAACAAGATATAACTATTAGCTCAGGAAGCAGATACTGGCAAGAGGAAGCCAGGCAGCAAACAAGAAAAAAAGAGTGGTATTACAATTGAGTGGTATTGGCTGCCATCTTGACTTTTTTGAATCCTTGTGGTTGCATCTGAAAGAGGCAATTGTTTACTTCTTCACGTCAATTCCCCTCCTTAAAGGGCATAGTGTTCACCTCATAAACAACCCTTCTACTCTTTTACCAGTGTCAAAACAAGTTTGAGAAAGTCATCTTCTGAGGATGCCATTTTGCTTTTCTCCTTTGACAGCCACATATTTTGGATCAGCTTTGAGGCTGCAAAATATTTAGTCCATGTACATTGTAAGCCCTTCGATGTAGGTCAAGTCAAGAAATAAGACTGCACAGGAAGGCTACTTTATTGTCAGTAGAAGGTGGGGCTGTTCTGAATCTCTTGCTTGCCCTTTCTACTTTTCAGGACTGAGCAACCATTTCACCACTTCTATCTCTTTCTTGAAGCCAGAGCTAAATTCAATAGTATGATAGAGCTGGCCTACACGAGCTTGGGAGATCCAATTATAAAAGTTTCTGCAATTTGCCATGAGAGCAAAGCTGAGCTTCTATACCAGTGGTGGGTTGCTCCCAGTTCGCACCAGTTCCATAGAACTGGTAGTAAAACTGGCGGGAGGCTCCGCCCACTGACCCTTATGCGCAAGCGAAGCAAGCGCGCGCGCACGGCCCCATTGCAAACTGGTAGTAAAGTTAAGTAGTTAAGTAGAACCCACCCCTGTTCTATACCACTGGTTTTTTTTTCAAACTTGGCAATTTTAAAATATGTGGACTTCAACTCCCAGAATTTCCCAACCACCTAGGATCTATACATCTTAAAAGTTGCCAAGTTTGAAAAAACACTGGTCTGCACTTAGTGCTCCCATCAGCTGTTCTGCAGCATGGATCAATCACCACACAGATCTCTGAAATCTCTTCTTAGCCAAATATATTCTACCCAGAATCTTTGGGATTCAGGCAACTTATAAATTTAATACATTTTAATTAAATATTAATATATACATTCTTGTAAAAAAAAATCATTCATAATTGCTCTAGTTCTGCATACAAAGTTCAATTTTAATTGAACCCCACTTCAGTTTTGCTTCACTTTTAACTTCATAACTTTGAATAGTCACCAAAAAAATGGTTGTAAATTGAGGACTACTTGAACTACATACAAAATGAAATCTCTGCTGCTCTAATGTTAGGATTGTGTAACCAAGTGCGTGTAACCTAGTCTCCATTATGGCATCCACTTTTAACTATGTCTCAGAATTACTAAAAAGAAAATTCTCAAAATCCCCAATCAACCAAGAATAGTAGCCATTCATTTCTTGAAGGGGAAGGGGAAGACAGCCCTCTAGTTCTGAAAAACAGCAGACTTGGTTACAGGCAGTTCACACTTCGTGATTGCCTTGGACAACAGCCATTCAGTTATAATATTGATTAAAAAATGCTGACATTTATAATCTTTGCAGTAGTTCTCTTTTGCTGTCCTATATTTGTCATTACAGCCAGTTAGTACAGTCAGTTTTTCACTTAACGACTGCTTTATTTAATAACCAATTTGCCAGTTTTGCCTTTGGCCTGGAAGACAGATATGTCTTCCAGGCCAAAGTACTCTGGCAGAATTGAATAAACACTTTTATAGAGCTGAGTTTCCCAGCCTTTCTAGTTTCATCTTCAATACAACCTTTGTTGACAAAGCAGAAACAGATATCACAAGGAGAACTTTTTAGTGATTGTAATTAGATAGAATTGGATGATCAGAAAGTGAACAAATTATGATGTGTTTTTAAATAAACTTTCAAAATTGAAAAGCAGATTAGGGTATGGATGGCAAAGTGGTTGAATCCAGAAAATTGGTGTATTTTCCATAAATGCAAACCCAGTCTTTCAAATTATTTTGTTATATTATCAGGGGTGAAATGTAAAAATGTTTGCTATCGGTTCTGTGGGCGTGGCTTGATGGACGTGGCTTGATGGTCATGTGACCTGGTGGGTGTGGCCAACTTGATGACACTCACTGTTAGAGCCAGGAGCTGCACATTTTGAAGGACATTCTGCCCTTCTGAAGCCCCCAACGCTTTGAGTTTCCCTCCGCCACCCAAGCGAACATCGGAGCCTTCTCTTGTCCCACTCTCTTGCCCCACTCTCCGGAGAGCCGTGCATCCCCCCCACCAATCCTCTGTATAAACTGGCTGCCCCGTTTCTGCAAAGGCAGAGCCTCCGCCTCCCGGTAGGGCAATCTAAAGAGGGGAGGGGGATGCTGCAGAAAAGGCAGCCTTCCACCCGTGCCTCCCATGCTGGCTCCGCGGGACTTGGGGCTCCAAAGCAGCCCACTGGTTCCCACCCAGCCACCTACCTACTGGCGCTTCTTGGGATCTCGGCCCATGGAGTCCGGTGCTCCGAGGGAAAGAGGTTCAGCCATGGTGCATTTGAGAGGGGTGGAAGCTGCCGGCAGGGGGGCAGCCCCCCGCACAGGTAGTGGGCCAGGCCCAGCCACGCCACCGTGGAGCCTGCAGCACTTTTCCTTCAGCCTGGGCAGTGGCATGGGCAGATGCAGCCCCAGCCAAGGCTGCCCTGGTTGAGCGATCACCGTGCCTCCGCAGCAACAGGCATGCCGAAGCCACCTTGCCAGCCTTCATTGCCTCCATGCGCTGCGTGTGGAAGCGGCCATTACTACCACTCTCGCCACCATCCCATCCCACCTGACTGCAGAGTGCAGACATCCACCTACCCAAAGCAACCCCGCCATTTGCTTTCATTTCGCGGCAGAAGAAGGAAGAAAGCAAAATGCTGCTGTCTTTCTCCTGCCACGAGAAGGTAGGTGGTAGGTAAACATCTGCACTCTACAGCCACACGGGATGGGAT